TTTTATTTACACTACAGCGGAACCCAATTGAATATGCTGCGTTTTACTTTCTTGCTTTAAAATTTAAAATACAGAAGTCATATTTACACAAATTTTATTACATTACACTTTTTATGTGATTACTAAGTTAGTCTGGAGTTACTAAATAAGCGCCTGAAAGCACTAGCAAATTACAGCCTCCAATGTGGATGGGAATAATGGGATAATATGGAAATCCCGATAATATCTAAACGCGCTAGCGCAATTCTAATTTACACTACACCAGAGAAATAACTCTACGAGCTAGATACAATGCCTACAATGTTCAAATGTCGGCGTGAAATTACACCAACATTACTCTTATTACACATTCAGTTCTCCTTGTTTTTTGAAACCATTTGAATCAATTGTAATTTTGCTACCCATTGAATATTGTTTCAGTGAAAAAGTTTTCCATGTCGATGGGTCCAATACGACGGAATATGAAAACGCAAACCACACAAATGAAAGTTTGAAATTGAGTTTTCCCGCGAACCGCCGACCGCGGCCCGTCGATACAGATTTTATTGTTAATTGATATTACGTATTGCGTTCGACTTTTGATAGCGACCGATATCTGGCGCGACGCAATTTGATTAAAAGAATTTTAATTAAATCACTTGCTGCAGTGACGTGCGTCGCGCATGTCTCTCGGCGTGTTGTGCTGGTTCAATATTATGTTTACTTGCAGCTTGTTTTGAAACGAAGCGCGCCTGATTTGCGCAAAAAATTAATTCATCAGCATTTTTATTTTTTTGTGAAAGGTGTAAAGTTTTTTCATCAACCGTTCAGATTAATAATGAAAATTTACCGGGAAAACTCGGCCATCAATTTGTAAACATTGTTGCAGCTATTGAAAAGTTGTTATAACTTCATGCATGATATATAAATATATGAAATATAAAAATTCTTGTCATGCATGATGAATTTTTTTGATTTTCCAAGAATACAAATGTAATGCATTGATGAAACAAATATTTTTCTGGCTGATAAATCTGTTATGCGATGCTAAGTAAATATTATCAGAATGGCTCAACATGGGAACAAATAGTTCGCGGGTGGCCAGGTAATTAGCAACGGATCGTCGTCGACGTCGACTGCGTGCGGAGCTTGAATGTGGAGGCGCCGGGAAGTGATGGATTACGAGTGGTGCAAATTCTGCCGCGCTGTGGCGCAATCCTTGATTAATTTATTAATTCGCCGAGATTTGCGTGAATTGAATCGTATACATTATTAACGAACAAACAAGAGCCAAGGATATTCATGGTAAAAAGCACACAAATCATTAGGTTTTAAAAATTCAACATGTGCGCAAAATCTGCACAAACCCACACCGAAAAAAATGAAAGTCCACAAAAGTTTAAAATTCTTAATACCGCTTTCAATTACGCAAAGAAAATGTAGATTTATTTTAATATTAGATTCTCCGCGTAGATTGTTAATTCAATTTGAATTTATTACTCTTGCTATAATTAAGCCTTTATAATTGCTAACAATCTAAATTTATTATACCACCGCCAATACTCATTAAAGCCAATTAGAGCAGAACACTTCATTAGCAACTATTTCCAAAAGCAATATGCGATTGCACATTACGCCAATTCAAAGATCAAGTGAGTTTTATTGCAATCGTCTGTAATTACAAGTTATTGGCATCACAGCGTAAAAATTCCTCATGCAAATATACGCATGAATGAAATAATATTCTTCTAATTTTAATCTTCGGTACATGTTTGGGTTATAAATTGATTTTCCCGATTTTCAAAGGATTTGGCATTAAAGCAAATTTTATTTCGATAGACATTGTCAAACAATACCATTCATTACGTTTGAAATAAAGCCATGCGTACTAATTCCATGAGTTACCTATCATTATAAATTTACGTCATTTGGCTGTTTGTTATGTGTTAGCAGATGAACGTGCTTGCGTTAATAATTAATTAATTTTTTATTGAGAATAATAATTTTGCAACAAAATTTTAATTTGTACATAATTTTGGTCAAAATATTTTAATTTTGAAACTGAAACTATCCGTTTCCCTATTTATTTCTGGTAACAACGACCGTGTCAATCGCCTTTGCCTGCCACACACGATATTTTCTCTCCAACTCCCCATACTAATTCGCACCGGAGCATCCGTGCGCCTCCGACCTCGACGTACACTTTTGAATGCTAATACACATCCTAATTCTGTCGCTAATACTAATTCCACATATACTATTACGCCGTCGCGTTGTCTATAAACTCGTATGAGATTTGGCCATTAAGTTCGACGCTGTGCTACTCTAGTATTAAAATGTTTAAGATTGAAGATTGAAGAGGGAGGGTTTCGCCCGAACTGAATTCCAGTTGGCTCCCTTGCTTCGTTATAATTTAACTCGAAGCAAAATGGGTCAATATTCCCCAAAAGGATCGCTGCAAATTATCACCATCAGAAAATCGCTAAATTTCCCGGCAAAAACACGAGCGCAAAATTGACGTAAAATTTATTTACCTGGATTCACGCCAAGGTACACCCACGCATCAATTCTGTAAATATGTGTTCCTATATCTGATTAGTGTTGTAATGGCGCCGGTCGTTAAATTAGGGAAATGCAGATTTATGCGTGGTATTAATTACCGATGTGCAATGCAAACAATACGCATCGATGATGTTTAATCTTGCGGTGCCACTAATTAACACGGGGTATCAGGATCATGTTTGGTAGTTAATTAATTATTTAATTAAAATTTTTAAAAATATATACTTAGAATTTATGCGTAAAAGAAAAGGAATTGGCGATTAATGCGTATACCTTAATTGACTTTCAGCATAAGTTTAAATTAATTAACCTACAGGAGTTTTTTTTTGCTGATCATAAATATGCAAATTAATTAGGATTAAATTATATATTTGGAATAGCAATTGTTGTAACGTAACATCCAAACAATATATTATTACGAATTCGCTAGTTACTATCAACTTTATTTATTTATTAATGATGTTTTGTTTTCATTTTCACATTAAAACACATATTATAATCATATTATTTAAATCAAAACATAAATAATCAAAACTCTAACAAAAGATACAGAACATAAAATAATAATTCTGTTCTATTTTTAAAAATTTCTAACATTTTCCATATAAGTGGATCCAAAATCCGTTTTTTGCCTTTTTAAGCGCTTGTAAGGTATTGAAACGCGGACATGAACTGAATTGCATTGATCGCAATCAATAATTCCATGAAATTGAAATATGTAAATTTTCTTTTACACGCATTTCTCCATCACGCTGCTTTTTTGATTTGCAATAGAATGCTATTATTACATACAAGTACGTATTTACTGTAAAACGCGCCTCTTGATGATTTAAGTCTTGCAAAATCCATACAAACATTTGTGCTGATATTTTCTGCAGATTTTCGCAGATAAAAAATTCGTGAAAATTAATCTGAACGCCGTTACTCGCGCAATAATATCGGATTAACACTTGCTCGTCATTTGCACGCACGTTGAAATGATGCGTCCTTCACGTTCGGGGTGTTGCGCCGTTATTCAAATTGAAAAAGATGAACGCTAATATGTTGCTCTTATATTTTGTGCCACTCTAGTCACTCATAAGCCTGAAAATCCTTGTCGGCGATGAATGTGGAGTGTAAAAATTCGTACACAATTTAAAAATAAAAAATTATATTAAATTAAATTGTTAAATTGGAATTACAAGTTATTTTTTGTCATATATTTTATATGAATTACAAGTATTTTTTTAGTGTTCATTACGCAACTTTTGCTATTATCTAAAGAACACTAAATAAGTGTACACTTTGTGATGTAGGAAACTTCTCTGTTTCTTTATCTTTTCCATTACACTTAGAGTTGTAGCAATAGAGGAAACAACTTCTACCTAATGTGTTGATGTACTCGTAGGTATATTGTCTTTAAACTTACAACTTTAACATTAGCTGAGACATTTTAGAAAAAAAAACTTAACCAACTTAAATAACAACTATTACTCACAATTAAGTACGTAAAATAAACTTTCAATTGCAAAAAATACAAAAATATTTCTCACTAATACAATAAATAACGTAACATCACCTGAATTGTTTGTTATTTAGTTCTAAATGGGGTTGTATTTAAAAAAGCAATTTTTGCGGATTATTCCGGACAACATTTATTCCCCCGCATGCCGTGCGACTTGAAACATTGCGAAAATAAGCAAACCATCAACACGACACTTTTGTTGTTATTTTTTACCACAATATTTGTCTTCCATGTTTCCACGTACGGCTTGTCTTTCTTTTTTTACCTCGCCCGGAAAACTTTATCTCTCGCATGTGCCTTATTTTTCTTCTGCACTCTTATGTCGCGTACTCGCGCCTTACGTGTACCCCATTTTATTTACTTCAGTGTCTTATGTTGCTTATACATCTATATATAACGGGTTTTGATAAATAGTTCAAATGAAAACCCTCGAAATACCTGCTTACAAGTACGGTTGTGGTGTCTCGCACGCAGGGAACATGGACAAATGATTTGTCAGCGCAGACCAGTCTCGTATCCTGCCGAAATACTGGTATTTGTCAACGGGCGCGGGACAAAACACATTGTATGTTATTTGATCAGATACATCATGTTATAATGCTTTTATGTGCGATTCAACGGGGAATTTCGAAATATTCGTGTTACAATAAACATGAATAGGATACGCTAAAAGCGGAGAAAAGAATAGTTGCCGCCCGAGTCGCAGACACGAGCCAAAGTTGAAATTAGATGCGTTGGAGCAAATTGCGGTCTCTCATTTCTACAAGTTTCATCATATGCCTCGACTCCTAACACATACCGTCTTACTTGAGACAGCAGTGTAAAATGGTGCTTGACAAGTACTTTCATGAAAGCATCCAACCTTGAAAACTGATGAATTTACTTGAACACTGCATCCCTTTGAATTACTTCGTACGTAATGGCAGTTGATAAACAATTTTATTTATTGTTACAGGGCGTAATGCGAATTCCTCACATTACCCTACTGCTGGCGACCGTGTGTCTTGTGACCGGGAGCGATTCGCACAAACGAGCGCCATCGGGATTCACCGGCGTGAGAGGCAAGAAGTCCATCACCGACAGCGAGTATGCAAATGTTGAATACCCGGCGGAGAAGCGAGTGTCCGCCGGCTTCTTCGGCGATCAACAGAAACCATTCGATGGCTGGGCTGAAAAACGCGTCCCGGCATCCGGTTTTCTAGGTGTACGGGGCAAAAAGGATTCAGAGAGTAGGTCTTCACTCATAAATCACTTCATTTATGAATTGAATATCTAATAATCTGTTGTTTTTTTTTTGCTTAAAGATGACTTCGACAAACGAGCACCCAGCGGATTTCTAGGCATGCGTGGCAAAAAAGAGTTTGATCCGTACGGTCACCTGGAGAAACGCGCCCCCTCAGGGTTCCTGGGAATGCGTGGCAAGAAAGACAACGAAATGTTGGACGACGAGTTAAAACGTGCGCCGGCGGCTGGATTCTTTGGCGTCCGCGGCAAGAAGGAACCCACGCGGGCCAGCTTCTTTGGCATGCGTGGCAAGAAGTATCCGTACGAGTTCCGAGGCAAGTTTGTCGGGGTGCGTGGCAAGAAGGCATCTGAGGAGGCAAGCAAAGACTACACCGAGGTGATGCAGCAAGTCGGCAAAGACTTGGACATCAATCAGCTGATGTTACTGCTGACTGAGAACGAACCGTACAATAATCCCGATAATGTCTATCAATATTTCAACAATATTAATAATTAGGTATGAATGTAGACATATTCCGCTTGTATCAGTCAGTATATCTTAATTATGTTTCAGATATTTGTGACTACAGTTAACCCCTTACCGCAAGAGGAGACAAAAATACCTACTAGATAGCTAGACACAATTTTGTGAGGCGGAAAACTAATATCAAGTAGATAGTAAACTAATGACTTAATAATTAACTTGATGCTAACTTAATCTCACTGAAAAAGAAAACAAATATACATTACGGAGCTAGCCATAATTCAACCCAGTTTTCGTGTACATAAGTAAAAAAAAACAAAGGCGTAAGACAAATTCCACTCGGACTGTATGAAGAAACGGAATCTTACTGGAAGGAAATTGGGTTTAATTATTACAGCTCATATATTTTTGCATTGCGGGGGTTTTTAGACATAGGCTGGATGTTTGAAAAGCTCCCTTGCAAAGACAACTTCCCACGAATCTCTAGCATTACATTCATTCGTGTTGCGACTAATCCTAATTTTCTGTTCATCGTTTTCCGTCCTGCGACAACTTTTACCAAACGCAACAAATTGTAATCGCTATTCAGCATTCGTGCGTGTCCTGCAAAGTTTCAAAGACTATTTCACTGTTATCTTGAATCTTCAAAGAATGTTGGCTAAAATAAATGTCAAAACTTGCAAGAGAGTGGTAATGATGATAATATTATAAACGCATATCAAAATAATGAGAACCCTTTGTAAAAATTATCAAGAACTACAAGTATATATCATATGCAAAATTAAAAGTATCATATGGCAATTACTACCTAAGTAAGCATTAAGGACATATTCAAGAAACAAGAAATTTCAAATATATAAAACTAAATGAATGTCTCCCATATGGTCAATAGATGTATTTGTTTGTTTCCTCTAATTTGTGAAAATATAGATATCGTTACGTGACTAAAAGTCAATCTTATTTTGCTCATGTATTTTGTTTTACACACACAGTGACAGGAAATATAGGTCAAAAAGATACTCAAATCAGGTACTTGTTGCTCCAGGAATTTTGTGTCATTTTGTATCCAGTTTTATTACAATATTCATTACAAAATTTTAGAAACAAATTACGAAATTCAAGGAATAGTTACAATCTTAAAGTGTGCACTTCAACTCGTTATAAATTGATGATACCTACATATAATTATGATAAGATATATGTTGTAGGAGTACTTCAATCATGCCTAACTTGTCATAAAAAAACTGCTCTATTAAACCGCGACTTACTTCTAGATATATTTGAGATTATTTTTAATGCTTAAACTTAGTTTCAAAAATTAAAAATAAGTAAAGCTTTTTGATTAATCGATTAACTAGAAACGAGTAGGTACCGTATAGCAATGTTAACTTAATATAATGACGATGATAATAACATCTAGCTAAAAACAGTATCGGTGCACTATATTAGATCCATGCTCAGTGTAAAGAGCGCGGTTGATCCAATTCGATCTTGAAAAGCTGCGACACAACTTAGCACCACCAATCCAAGGTTGATCTAGTCGATCCGATGTATCTACACTTGTCACGTTAAATAGTTCATTTTTCGCATGGAGTTCTTTCTTCAAACGTTCCACCAACCCTGGTATTAAGCTGGTACCACCACAAACCACAATATTCGCGCGGAGCACATCACGTATTTGCTCATCGCACTTGTCAATGCATTTGCAGATCATTACGTCTAGGCCATCGTCACCATCTCCAATACCAGCACCGAATAGGTGATTAGTACACTTGGTGACTTCATTTTCAGTGATGACCATAATAGATCCGTCGGGCATTTCGTACTCTTGCGGTTTGACCGTACCTACCCTGAGATAGTTCTCTTTGATGTCGCGTGTTATATTGCCTGTCGCAGACTGTCGGAATAATTGATCTCTGTCCGTGAGCAGGGCTTCAATGCAATTGTGCATCCGGTCAATGAGATCTTCATTGCGCAGAATTGCGTAATGCAAAGTTTGACCTTCGTATATCGGTACTGCGGTACTCACACCATCACCTATATCCAACGCCACGCCGGTATAGATATCATGCGATAACAACGCTAGTTTGCCGGAGTTTTCCAGGTAAGCTTCAGATGCGTCCAGGCCTTCTATAGCAATCTCAATCATTTTTTCTCGAGATTGTAATGGATTTCTAGGTGTTTCCGTTAATAGGAGCGGTTGATTTGCTGCGGGTACCTTTAAATGGTTGGTATAAACGTCGTGCCAGACATCTTCAATGTCGTCCCAGTTCTGGACCACGCCATGCTTGAGCGGGCGGCGTAAACGAAGTATTCCTCGATATTGCATGGCGATGTCCCCCACATATTCGGCTTGGTGTCCGCGACAGCCAACGTGAATTGTGCAAACAGAACACACTGACGATTGACGCGGGTTTCCGAGCAGGCAAGGTATATACTTAGGTTTACCTTCATTGGAAAATCCGGCTTTTATTGTGTATGACCCGGTGTCGAGCACAACAGACGTAGTCATTGCAAAACCGCGATGTTGGACTAGACTGAACTAGCGTGAACTTCAACGCAAAGTGAATAGATAATGGAATATTTTGTGATGGATGATAAGACATTTAAGTCAATGAGTGATGATAATCTTATCGTATTATTTGTAATTTTTAGTGAGAAAAAGCCCACATTTAATTAATAGCAAAACAGTGATTTCGCCGTTTGTGTACTTACTAACGTGATCACTTTGTTGAAAAAAAAATTCTTTTTCCTATAAATGTATTACACCATTTTGATTCTCTTTGCCGAATCTTATAGCTTTGAGCCTTCAATAAACGATGTTACAGCTTAATACTGAGCTGATTTCCTTGCGCTAGTATTATTTGATAATATATGTAGTCTTTGCAATTTTTTTAAAATTTCGCGCCTTGAATGTCCATAAGGATGTGTTTTGCTTGTGCCGCTTATCAGTGTTTGTGTATAAGCATGCTGCGCTCGCGCTACAGCGTACAGGCCGCGGACGTTTCAGTCTCTTGTTGTATACGCGCTGTTCGTCACCTTGCGTCCATTTCATTTAAATAAATTGCATTAAATCTTATCGGTAATCGACGACGCCTAATGACTTTCGACGTGTAAAGTGCTAACGATAGTTTGTGCGTGAAATGATTATAAAACTCGTGTCTTCATTTGTGCGTGTGTAGTCTGACAGCAATTGACTTAATTCGATACTGGGAATTGCAACTGGATATAACCTGCAGTCATTTTCTAGTAAGTTTGAGAATAAATAATTGTATTCTTGTAAAAATTCACTCGTTTTTCCATAGTCATTACGTTTCAACATATACGAGTACGTTTTTCGAAAAGATATAGCAGGCTACGTGAACAAAGCAGATATGAAAATGATAAGAATTTCAATACAGTTGAATGCGGGCTCGATTGTACACCGAGGTCACGTTCAACTCTTTGACATCTAAAAACAAATACAAATCAGATGCGCTGAGATTTGTGACTTTACTTCATTTTTAATTCGCTAAATTAACTAAAACTTTATAGCCCCTAAATATAAAGATAACAAAAATAAGATATAATATGGTAATAATATATTATTTACTATGTAAATTAATGCACTAAGGCAGCACAACTAAAAAAGACTGCCGGACCCAAGGACAGATGACAAGGTTGAGGGCGTAAGCAAAGTGCGCAAATATTTTATTGATTAATAGTCATTATTATATATCAATATCCAAGCTGATACATACTTTTAGTGATCAATGTAAAGGTGCGCATTGCAAATTTGGTACGACAAAATACGAAATTCAATAAACAGCTCAAAGTTTAAAGTGTGCACTTCAACTCATAATAAATGGATGATACATATGATTTTGATAAGCAAAATGTTGTAAGAGTACATGAATCATGGCAAAACTTGTTTTAAAAACTGTTCAATTAAATTGCGCTTCACTGAAAGATATATTTGAGATAATTGTTCTGATTCATTGAATAACTAGAATCGAGTAGGTACCGCATACTAATGCTACCTTAATATAATCACGATAATAATATATAGCTAGAAACAATATCGATGCACTATATTAGATCCATGCTCAGTGTAAAGATCGCGATTTATCCAACTCGATCTTGAAAAGCTTCGACACATCTTAGCACCACCAATCCAAGATTGATCTAGTCGATCTGATGTATCTACACTTGTAACGTTAAATAGTTTATTTTTAGCTTGGAGCTCCTTCTTCAAACGTTCTACCAACCCAGGTAATAAGCTGGTACCACCGCAAACAACAATATTCGCACGGAGCACATCACGTATCTGCTCATCGCACTTGGCAATGCATTTGCAGATCATTACGTCTAGGCCATCGTCGCCGTTTCCAATACCAGCACCGAAGAGGTGATTAGTACACTTGGCGACTTGAGTCACACCGATGACCATCATAGATCCGTCTGGCATCACGTACACTTCCGGATCCGCCGTGCCTACCCTGAGATAGTTCTCTTTGATGTCCCGTGTGATATTGCCTGTTGCAGATTGTCTGAATAACTGATCTCGGTCTGTCAGCAGGGCTTCAATGCTGTTGTGCATGCGGTCAATGAGATCTTCATTGCGTTGAATTGCGTTACGCAAAGTCCGACCTTCGTAAATCGGCACTGCAGTAGTCACACCATCACCTATATCCAACGCCACGCCGGTATAGATATCACGAGATAACAACGCCAATTTGCCGGTGTTTTCCAGGCAGGTTTCAGGTACCCCAAGCCCTTCTATAGCAATCTCAATCATCTTTTCTCTAGATCGTAATGGATTTCCAGGTGTTTCTGTCAATAGAAGCGGTAGATTTGCGGCGGGTACCTTTAAATGGTTGGTATAAACGTCGTGCCAGACATCTTCAATATCGTCCCAGTTCTGGACCACACCATGCTTGAGCGGGCGGCGTAAACGAAGTATTCCTCGATAATGCATGGCGGTGGCCCCCACAAATTCGGCTGGGTGCCCGCAACAGTCAACGTGAATTTTGCAAACAGAACACACTGATGATTGACGCGGGTTTCCGAGCAGGCAAGGTATATACTTGGGTTTACCTTCTTTGGAAAATCCGGCCTTTATTGTGTGGGACCCGGTGTCGAGCACTACAGACGTAGTCATTGCAAAAATATTGGACTAGACTGAACTAACGTGAATTTCAACGCAAACTGAATAGATCATAAAATATTATTATGATGGAAGATAAGACATTAAAGTCAATGAGTAATGATTATCTTATCGCATTGTTTGTTCTTTTTAGTGACAAAAAAATCCCCATTTAATTAATTGTAAAACTTTGATTTTGGCGTTTGTGTATTAACAAACGTGATCACTTTTATGAATAAAAATATTCATTTTCCTATAAACGTATTGTGCCATTTTTTCTGCCGAATCTTATAGCTTTAAGCCTTTAATAAACTACATTACAGATCAGTACTGAGCTGATGATTTCAACAAAACAGCCCTGCTTCTTGAGAGTTTCTTTATTCGTTATCTTGGTGTGATGCAATTCATTCATGAAAACAATACAGTATACATTACTTAGAATTAATAGTATAATTTGAATGATAATTATCACTTATAATTACCAAGAATGCATTTGTGTCAATAATGTTCAACTTCTCTGGTAATTTGTAACAGCGTAATTTGTTAGATTCGTAGATACTTTCCGCCGATCGAACGTTCCTCTTCGTATTTTAGTAAGTAGTTTATTTGATTTGATTCATAGTTGACTAGAAAATTATGACTCTGCCTTAACATAGTTAATAGTTTAATATCTCTGTATCTTTAAATATAATAGTATTTATCCTCTTGTTATAATTTATGCTCATCGTTTGCTCCATATATTTTAAGTTAATTTTTCAAATTCTCTGTTCTGTTAAAATTTAATCACTCTAAACGTTAATGTAATTTGTTTTTTTTTATAGGCATTTTCATTTCATTATAGTTAAATGATTCTTTATCGATCTGACCTTCTTAAATTTCGAATTTAAAAAGCGGTGAGTTTACTTTTCACGCGGATGAAAAGGCAACTTCAAAATTGTAAAAAGCGTTCGCGTTATTAAAATTTACAATCTCTTGTGTGTCATTACTCGTTACATTCGTGTTTGGTGATTGTGTTAATTGTGTGTGTATGTGTGTGTGTGTGTATACATGAATTGCAATTCATTGTAATTGTAAATTCACCAATTGAAAAGGATTTGCATAGGTATGTAGAGCACACGTTAATCCAATAGTATCACTGAGCGAATGAGTTCAAGTAAAAAGTTGAAAGCAAGCAACGTCGCAACAACGCATCCAAACAATAAACAATTCCTGCCGGCTACTTCTTATTGTCCCACTAAAACTCCCTCTTTACATTCGATGGATTCGCATTGATTTCTGCTGAATGCTGGAAAGCACAGGTCAGAAAACGTTTCACAACCGTGGTGCTCGTAAACAAATATCATCTACATAGATATTAACAATTATGCAAATTACCCACGGACTGCACACCTACACAAATGGTGAAGTCTAAACGGTAGAATTTTGTAAGTCATTGTTAAAACCTTCTATTAGTTATTGCTAGAGAGTAGAATTGCCAACATTTAATGTTTACAAATCAACAAGGGCGGAGTAATTTGCACAATGTACTTAACAGCAGTTCCTCAAACCTTGTATCGATATTTTGTCGTGCTTTGATTCAATATGAACTAAACTTAAACAATGAGATAGTTTTTAAATTTTACCATTACTTAAATTAAACGGTTTGAAGTCCTGCTTAACACTAACCGTTACATTTCAAAACTTAACTAAATAAATTAAACACAGCATAATTCAGTTCAAAATAAGCTCCATTGCAATAGTAAACGATGATTTAAAGTGCTTTCCACACATTCTTAACACGTTTAGATCAGTTGCATTAACAGTATTTGTTGTACTGGGCGCCAATGATTCAACTTTTAAAATTACATTACTTTGGAAATGGCTTCTATGATTTGTGATCGATTACCGAATGTAAACGTGTGTCGTTAAAGGTGCTCGTACTTAACTCCCAATTAATGTGGGTTTTTTTCATTTTTTCTTTAAATTTAACAAGCAAATAGAATTCTTTCCGTCACATTTGCGGAAGAAGCGTAATCACCTTGGTTTCGGCGTGGCGTCCAAAAATGGTTAACATTAATTAAGTAATATAATAGATTCAATTAACAAGGACAAGACCAACATAATAACAGGTTGCGCTGACGTTCGTCAGGCGAACGTAGGGCGAAAGGAAAGCGCGCTGTCGGTTCGTTTAAGAGTAGTCAACAACAAATTCTGGTAACGTCCGACTGCAAGTCTGAATGCGTCGGATAGATATATAGTAGTTGTTTGTTATCTTTTTTGAACAGCAAAAGGTGGTGTTGATTTTAGTTTGGTATTACATGTTTAAAATTTCAGTATCCCTGTTTACACACTAAATGTAAAGATTTGCTCTAATGCATTCCGATGTCGTTCATGTGTAGCCCGCGGTCGAAGTGGATTTTTTATTCCTGTGCCGTTTTCACTCACCGTTCTTGCGGTATACGCAGACCTCTGAGAACTTTACTTTGCTAAAAAAAATAACGTGTAAATGTAACGCAAATCATGTTAATAATGTTTGTTTGTTTGTTAGGTTACTTGATATTGCTCCTCAGAATCGATGGTGCCAATGATGGCTACAATTTGGTACTGTTTGGCCTTCATGGCAGCTTCACTCTTTCGCAGCAACCGGAGCGCCCCGGCCGCTGAACTCGTATCACCAAATTGTGCCATTTGTTGTGGCGAGTGGCTCGGATCAAGAACAAGCAGCATCAGCGAACCGTCTTTCTGTGCTTCAATGCCCATTATTGTTCGGCTGTGTCCTACAGGAATAACACGGCATAAATATTTGATTACTGGCATTTGATTACAAACCTTGATGCTGCAGATACAATGGCGCGATGAAATCGCCGTTATCGAAGCCTTCGAAGTACTTCAACACCCAGTTGAAGAGTTCCAGGTGCGCGCCGTTGGGGCCCGTTGGCCGATGGAAGTCGACCAATTGACAACGTATGCGTAAAGAAGACAGAAGAGTGACGACTTCGGTAGCCCCAATCCATTTCCTCGTATTGACCAGTTTACTACCCAACTGCTCGGAACCCTAAACACAAAACACGGGCGCTTGCATCTACGAAACAGCAACTAAATTAGATAAAAATTAAAGAAATTATGGAGGATGTCCAGTGAACAAGGATCGCACACAAAGAAAATAAATTATGAAAAACTAAATAAAAGAATAGAAGAAGTAAATACCTGTACATCAAATCCTTGTGCCCATGCTTGTTCAATGAGACTTTGCAACCTTGATATGCTGGGAACAGAGCTACGCGGCGGTTTGTGATCCTTCCAGATCTTGTAGAGACGCTCGTTGAAGCCGGTGTGCGTGAGCAGACTGGAGAAGAGCATCTGCGTGTTGCGATAACCACAGCCCCAACCACGATCCCCGTACGAAGACGCGTAATGGTCCACGCAAGAACAGGTGAGCGTGCGCGCCACATTCGTCGCGTTGCAGCTCATCGCCTTGACTCGTGGCACAATGGTGCGGGTCACCGAGCTGCCATCGTCAACACCGCAGCTCTCCGCCGCGCGCAAATCCAGCGTGCGCTCATAATAATCAGCGACACTCATCTCTCCAGCGTACACAGCGCGCTGCATATTCGTCACGGATTGCTCACGGAAGTTGCCCTGGTCATCCATGCCATACTGAGCGCGCAGCAGTTCAAACTCACGCTGCTCTCGCTTGCGGAGTGCCTCGCGTTCGGCGGGCGCTGGAGATGTGGCCGGGAAGTGGTTCTCCACGTGGCGACTGGCGCCCTCACCCTTGAATACCAAATCATAAGCAATAATTCACATAGGAAGAAAATAATACGTACGTTGTCATCGTCCAGGGTGATGCCGCACACTGGACAGGAAAAGCTCGAAGTAGACGCCGGAGACAGGACGTCTTTGTGCTCAATGTTCACGTGCAGCTCGAGGTCAGGAGCGGAGTTGAACGCCTTCGTGCAGATCGGGCACGCGAACACCTCGCTGGTCGAACCACCCACGGACGGCGAAGTTAAGTCGAAATGTTGCCTGGTAGGCAACATAATTTTTTTTAATAATCTCGCAATAAATATTGAAAGACAATTCGCCATTACTATGGAAATTGTAAGTAAGCAACTGACACACATTGAAAATTTTGAAAACAATAAACATTCTCTTAGATTACAACCAAAAACACATTTCTCACATTTCTTCAGGCATGCATGACTTAAAATTCACATCTAGTTAACAAGAAATCAAATTATTTACCTGTTTATATGCCCCTCAAGCTCATTTGGACTGTTACTAGTATAATTACACATTGGACATTGCAAAGTAGGTGCTGCATTCTTCAATTTCAAATTTAAACTTGTTCTCAAAGGTGAACCATGACCATGATGGCCATGTCCATTTGTTGACGGACTCATTGGACTTAACTCTCCTCCACCATTGACAAGATTATGCTAGAAATTGATCACTATAGAAATACAAGTTGATTGTTGTGGAATATATGACTACCTTTGGTGCTATGTTGATATTATTAATGTTGTGTCCCAATGACCCATTGGTAGTCCCATTCTGCACAACATTGTCATTCCACACTGCACCCGCACTGCATTCCCCATTGTAATCTGGACTGGTGTCATCAATAAAAGACATATTCATCTCCGACTCCGGCGTGAGGAAGTCGAGATGCGCCTGGTTCACATGCAGCAGCAGCTCGGAGGGTGAGATGGAGCCTAATTGACAGAATGGACACACTGCATGCCCATCAACATGTGCTGTGTGAGTGTGGACGCGGAACTCGTCCTCGGAGAGGCTCTCCAAGCCGCAGATCTCGCAGCAGTAGGTGACGTCAGGTACGTTGCTGGCCATCTTCGCGCCGCTTCTTTGGACTTAGAATTATAACAAACCTACAACAAAAAACAGACCAACACTGCAATGCGCTTCACTTCCGTGTTCCGGCGGCGGCGTTCGATGGCGATGGCAAGCGGCGGTGAATGATTGATGGGGCACGTTTAACTTTATAGATTATTTACGAATGGTGGACGATCGTTAATAGTTACCTAAAACTAATGTAAAACTAAACCTAAAGCGAGATCAATTCGATTGTACTCCTCCATTCGGACATCGGTGACCTACTTTTGAATTTGACAGCTGTTTCATTCAACGACCGGCGCGCACGCAACCCGCTTGCTTCTTCCGCGTTTCGTCCTGCGCGGAAGCGCCGTGCGGGGAGATGAATACAAAGGATTCAAATGTGAACTTAGTTACACAGCACGCAGAAATTGTGGAAAATACGTGCGGTGGCTCTTGAAGTAATTTGATTTGTTTGATATTGTCATGACAACGCGTCGCAGAACCAACTTTTCTTTATTTTTTCCAAAAAAAAGCAAAAACCGCACGGAAAATGTATTACAACATAAAATACTGCTATTTATCTTCAAAAAATACATTTACTAATTATAGTTTGTTTGTTATATTTCAAAATATTCCAAATAATTAGGTTGAAACTGGATTTTAAATCGTTCCTTATAAAACACCAAATATTTACCAATGTATTGCATGCTTGGCACATGTCCAACGACGAAGTAATCCTGTAATATTAGATCAACCGGCAGCTAAAAATATCTCAAAACGCGCATACCAAGCAGGGTTTCTATGGATAGTCACACGCCAACCGTCGATCATGCCGGAAGACGATCTGAAAACGTGCGCCGAATGCAAGAAACCCGCCACGCTGCGATGCACGGCCTGCAGGCTCGTCGCATACTGTTCCAAGGAACATCAGAAAGCCCACTGGAAGACACACAAAATTACCTGTCGGCCCTATGAAGTAATCATCAATTTAAAAATAAATTCCCCTTGGTTTTAGTAATGATTCAAACTTCCTATAGGTCAAAGATGTCCCGGGTCGTGGACGCTGTTTAATTGCAACCAGAGACCTGAAAAAGGGGGATTTGATACTCTCGGAGGAACCCATGGTGTATGGACCACGGCCACACATGATAGAAAAAGGTCCTGTTCCGTGTCCGGGTTGCTGTCGATTGATCTATGCAAGCAAAGCTCCGAGATGCGAAGGATGTGATTGGCCAGTGTGCAACACCTTGTGTGATGGGCTCAGGGATCCCAGAAGGCATGGATATGAGTGTTTTATTGTTGGGCTTAGGGCCCATCGAGCTCTTGAAGGACTACATGAATATTACAGGTGATTGAATGTCAAAATTTTACAATTTACGAAAAATAATTACGTTTCTAATCCTGTAGACAAGATGTGCTCTTGGCTGTGCGTTGTTTGTTGCTTCAACGGCAGGGTCTCAAGAAATGGATGAAGTTTTTGGAGATGGAATCGCATTTTGACAAGCGCGACAAAGGAACTCAAATTTACAAGTAATATTTCGCATTTTTACCCTTTTCAGATTATTAATTTAATTGTTTTAATTTTTCAAAGGGATGTGGATGAAAGAGTTGTAAAATATCTTTTTGAATTCATCGAAAAACTCAAAGCACTTGAGGTGGCCACCAAAAACGTGGTCCTCCCTGACATCTCCCCGGAAACCATTCACAAAGTGTGCGGAATCATCGACGTAAACGCGCTGGAGATCAACCAAGATGGCGAACTCTCAGCGCTTTATCCGAATGCCTATTTGATGGAACATAACTGTTTGAGCAATACCGTGCATACTTTCGCCCCGGCGGAACAACACTACAAGATTACCGTACGCGCCTCGCTGCCTATCAAAAAAGGCGAACATATTACCACCATGTACACCCACGCACTTTGGGGAACACAAGCACGTCGAGAGCATTTGAAAGAAACGAAATACTTTTCATGTGAATGCAAGCGTTGTGCAGATCCTACTGAATTGGGAACTTATCTAAGCGCATTGCGTTGCATGGGTACTGAGAATGAACCCTGTAATGGGATCCAACTTCCTTTGAATCCGCTTGATGACAAAACTGAGTGGGCATGCAACAAATGTCCGGTGCGTCTTGCACCTTCAGATGTTGCTTATCTTGTAAATCAAATTGGTGAGGAGGTGGATGTTATTCAAGTGACGAATCCAAGTATTAAAGACTTGGATGGATTACTAAACAAAATGGCTACCTTCCTACACCCAAATCACTATCACGTCTATTCTGTGAAGCATTCTCTAGTGCAATTGTACGGATACCAGCAAGGATACATGCCAAATCAGATCAGTGATGAGTTGCTTAAAGAAAAGGCAAAAATTTGTCGCCAGTTAATTGATACTACAGAGAAGATTGACCCTGGAAATGCAAGACTTTGTCTTTATTCAGGTGTTTTGTATCATGAGCTATATCTGGCAAATATGACTTATGTTAAGCGCAAGTGGGACGTTGGAATCAAAAAAGACTTGATTCTATTAATTCGAGAAGCAAAGGAATGTCTAGGAAAGTCGAAAGATGTCCTTTTGTATGAGAAAACTTCACCGTCTGGTGAGAAGTTGCTACAGTTGGTTGAAACTTCCTTTAAGGAATTCGACAAGTGGATTACAAGATACAAAATTGATGTGGCGTCAGACTACTAATAATATTTTGATTTTAATGAGTGGTTGGTTTTCTATTAATGTCCTAAATTTGTTATTATTAAAGAAATAAATAAAGAATTAAAACAAAAAAAGTATTGTTAGGCATCCAATCAAACACCTTAACTTCCCAACAGAAGATTTTACGCAGGGCAACCCACAATACACATTTTGTTATTACAAAATGTTTAAACAAATTGTCATTTCCTGTGTTTTAATTATGTGCATCAAGTAAAACCCGCACTAAATGATGTTTTAAATTAATGAACGACAGCTGATTCTTATTTTAGGAAGAACTAGGCAACCAAACCGACGTACAATCATTCCAGATTCGTGGAATAGGTCGTCACCTCGTAACGCGTCTTGCTGTTTTGTTGTCAATAACAATAACAACAAACAACTGCATCCAAAAATGCAATCATTATTCAGCATTTTACCGATGTCAACATTTGCCTGATCGCCCACAAATTAGCGGTACTTCTCGCTGCTTGATTTCAACGGTCGAGGTCGCGGCGCCCGTGGCCCAAACGATATTAAACGCCCCAGAACAACACAGAATGAGATTGAAAACGCCGCGACAATGATGTTGTATCTGACGATGTGCATTTTCGCGCCGGTGTTGGGCACCATTACCGTCTGCCTGGTGTCCTACTACGTTGTGAAATATTTGCAGAACCGCGCAAAGCAGGTACCTCTCAGGGACTCCAAGGTACACAGCTGGAAGCCCATCAAGCTTTCCTCACGAGTAAGTGAATACAACAATCAATTTGCTGATTCATTCAACACAGAGCACAACAATTGATTTGACTATTTTCAGCCATGGTATTGCTCTATATGTGAAACCTTGTTGATCAGTGAGATAGGTGTCTACTGTGATTGCTGTGGGGTTTGTGCTGATCCAAATTGTATAAAGCAAGCCAATAGAACCCTTCCATGCAAAATTATAACAAGCAAAGTAGACTCCCTGAATCACCACTGGGTAAAAGGTAACTTATTGAATATTCTTTTGTCTAATAACTAAAAAAAGTAAAATCTATGAATTTTTAGGAAACTTACCAATTGGCGCGACTTGCACAATCTGTGGGGAAGAATGTTCTCAGCAGCTGGGACTCGTCGATTATCAGTGCTGTTGGTGTCAACGGGCCGTCCATCAGCAGTGCATCAAATTGATGTCAACAGAGTGCGACTTCGGTCCCTATCGCCCACTCATTGTGCCACCGTGGTGCGTGCAAACGGCACGCATGAAGAGCAGCATCCACCGCCACCTACTACTCCGCGGCGTGAAGGACCCCGGCTGGCCGGATTGGTCGCCCCTGATAGTCGTCGCGAACCGCCGCTCTGGCAACAACGACGGAGACGCGATTCTCTCCGAATTCCGGCGCATTCTCAACCCGGCACAAGTGATAGACCTGGCTGATAGGCCTCCAGCTGCGGCTCTACAATGGAGCGTACTCTGTGCGCCGAAACCCATACGATTACTTGTCGCTGGCGGAGATGGGACTGTCTCATGGCTGTTGACAACATCACACAAAATGGATCTAGAGGTATACGCAAATTATTTAACATGTAGATATCCAGATGATTGAGATTATTGTTTTTAGCCGCAGCCGGCGATTATGATTTTGCCGCAAGGAACAGGCAACGATTTGTCCAGAGTGTTGGGATGGGGTAAGGAAACCCCGAGCGAAATGGACCCGACGTATATCATAGAGAAGATCCAGGAGGCAAAACTGTCGGAAATCGACCGATGGAAGGTCGAAATCACGCCGTCGCGGCATCTGGGTATTTCTCTGCCTACAAAGACACAATTTATGTACAATTATTTCAGTGTCGGTGTGGACGCGCAAGTGGCACTCGATTTTCATCGCACGCGAGGGAGCAAATTCTATTGGTTTAGTAGCCGTGTCTTTAACAAGGTAAATGTCATCAAATTCATTTAAAAATAAACATGCATTACGTTATTTTACTTTAATCTCGTGCATTATATCGTAATCTAATTGTTTTTATCCAATTGTGAAAATTTCATGCATGAAAATGATTTTTGTTAAACAGATGCAAAATTGTTTGTTTGTGTGTTTCCAGATCCTGTACATGTTTTTTGGCACCAACCAAGTGGTGTGGGCCGAATGCAAGAACATTAACAAACATATGGAACTGTTCCTGGACGGCAAACGCGTCGACCTTCCCCAACTAGAATCCGTTGTCGTATTGAACATCCCGTCATGGGGCGCCGGCGTCGACCTCTGGTCGATGATCGAAGATGCGTCTTCGCAGAGCTTCAAGGACGGCATTCTCGAGGTGATCGGCATCTACAGCTCCTTCCACATCGCCCAGCTGCAAGTGGGGCTCTCCTCGCCACATCGCATCGGGCAAGCCAAAACAGTCGAGGTAAAACAACAAAGCAAAACAATTTAATGTTTACACTCGTTTCTCGTATCTCCAAGATTCGATTAAATGCGATGGCGCCGGTGCAAGCTGACGGCGAGCCGTGGCGGCAGCGTCCTGCGAACATCCGCATCTCCCTCGTCGACCAGGCCCCGGTGTTGGTAAACAGACAGCGCGGAACGGTAAGTGCCACAACTTCACCGAGCAAGCTCGCGCATTAATTCTTCGTCGGCAATTCTCTATAATTGCGCCCACTGTTTCCAAGTCTTTCCAAATGTGTACATGCATTTATCTAGCTATTAACTAGCGACGGGCGTACTTAACCTACTCATTTCACCAAATTACTAGCGATAGTTTGCAACGGGTATCTTCCTCGACTTATTAACATACTAAAAAATACTGTATAAGTACTCATTTGACGAGCGAGCACGAAAATCCGCATTTATAAATGTTAATAACAATAGTATTTAACGAATATTGTTTACGAAGATAATATTTCAAGTATTTTCAAACGCCCATTCATGGCGTAGTCATTCACATGAAGCCATTCATCGAAAGAGAAGCTTGCGACACTGATAACAAATTCTACGAAATTAAGTGTTTAACATTAATTACATTTCCGAATGTATGTCAGTCGTTATCAGATCTAAAGTATTGATGGCAAACACACACGTTTATTTTGCTTGTGAGTACGAATCGCGTTGAATCTTTGTTTTTATTTTGATATTTTTATTATTGTATTGATGCACGTATTGATTACTTTACGTTTCTGTTTCTGCTTTAATTTTCTTGTGGACACTTTGTTTCCATTTGTTACACATTTTGTTAACTTGTTGTATTATATATCGGATGTGGACATAACTTAAATTGTGGCTGGTTGAATGTGCATTTAATGTCGATGACAATTGTTTCAAATGAATAACGACTTGTGTGTTTAAATAATGATCGTCGCTTTGTGTTTACCCATCACTCCCAATCCTTCAAAATCTGATCATACTCGTGCTCGGTGTAGAAGGGCGTCTCGATGTTGCGTATCATATTCTCGCCGCAAAACAGGCACTCGGAGGCGACGATGTTGTCGATATCGTTACGCACGATGTCGCGCGACGACAGCCCTGTGGAGCCTGTGCTTATATTATCAATCGTCTGTGTGTTGAGGATGTTTAACTGTCGTTGCAGGTCTGTTAATTTATTTCGTTTCGCAGGGCCTAGAATTTGATGAGTGTATATCATAAGTTAAATCGAATAAATATATTATTACCTAACATGGGTGTGAGTTCTTTGAGGAGACAGTCGGTGTGAAAGCGATGCTTGCAGGGAAACAAATAAAATGGCCGCACTAGTAGACACACATTACAAATATCACAGCAATCCGTTGGTTTGATGTATGTGTAACGATTGCGGAAACTCTGAATCTCCTTGCGCACCGTTTCCGCCGACACCGTCGCTTCATCCATTTCCTTCTTCAATTCCTCAATGTCATGATTGTATTTCTTCAGGGAGTTGCAGATAGCGTCTCTGAAGTGATCAATCGTGACGAAATCGGAGAAGAACGGCAGGATATCCTCGATCCGGATCAAATTATCGCACTTCTGCAAGAATTCAATCGCCATCTGAATGTCATCCTTCCCGCTGATCACATGCCGCGCCACCTTCAGCCATAATTTCTTCCGCAGTTCCAAATCATGCTCAGGCGCTTGATTTGCGATCCGAATGGCTAATTCTTTATCGAATGTCAGCGCCATATCCACCGCGCTCTCCCACTGGCCTAATAAACTGGACAATTGCACGCATGCTTTGGTTAATTTCTTCTCCTGGCATAACCGCAGCGCAAAATAAACATCGTAATTTATACACATCATATCCTGCCCCTGCTGGGATAAATACTCCAACAACATGTCGGGATTATATTTCGCGTACAGTGATAACAATAAATTGTGCACGGCCTTGTCGGGACATTTCAGATTATTGATACAAAACTCGAGGTATTTGATGACTTCCACGCAGTGTACCTCACCATCGCAGCTTACCAGCGCCGGCAACAGTTTAGCAGGTTGCAGATTCATGCGTTGATCGATGAGTGCCTTGATAACCAGCTTGGGAATCTCCTGCATGAGGATCGGTGCGAATTGATAGAACAACTCACGATTATTCTGACTCTTCAGGACTTCCAACGCGTCGTGAAAACTATTCTTATAAATATGTTGCCGAATGAGTTGCTCGTAATCTTTATTCAGTTTTGTTAGTTTAATAGCGTTGGCTTTGTCGCCATGACTGGCGAGCAGGTCATAAATGGCACCTTTGTTCTTCTTCGTGCAGTCTGTCAACATTGGCAACGATAAAAACTGCTCGAATTCTTTCTGCACTTCGAAGTATGCATTGGACTGTTCTAAACCTTTTAAACGTAATTCTTCCATTTGAGTTGAGTACAACTCAATCAGCCAGAACGTAATCATTGTTATCTGTGTTTTGTCTTGTGGCTTGAGAGTGGTTAACTTTTTACGTAGGAATATTTTAAGCGCGTCTTGTTTCTCGATACTGATAAACTTCAGGCAGATCTCCTCAAAACTGGTTTGCGTTTCTGCAAAACGCAACGCAGCCAGGTGAAACTCCCCTTTATCGAAGTGCATGTTTGCCTCGCGTAGTAACACTTGATTGTAGTACACCTCGTTAGACTTGGCGTACTTTTTCGCGAGATCAAACTGACCGCGATCTGAGTAAATCTGCCACAAGTTGCGGTCTTCGTTCGTTATACGAAACCGAAAGAGATTCTTCTCGGTCACAGCCCAGATCGTGGCGGTGACGTGGTCCTTAACAACAGTAATCAACTTCCCAAACGCTTCATTGTAATTATCCTCATACACCAACTCGGAATTCAACAGTGAAATACCTTTAATTCTATCGCGATACGCTACTAGTGCGTGGAATTCAGTCAGAGCTAACGTAAATGGCCCACTTTCACTACTTGGACACTCAATCAAACTCATCTGCGACTTGATTGACTTTATATCATCAATAACATCCACATCAAACTACAAAATCCAACCTAAAGTTTTAATTTGAATAAAAAATTAAACGTATTCGTTACCTGTGCGAAATAAACACCGTGACTCGTCAACCACGCGAAACTATTCGGCGTTATGGAATTCTCCGACCAGAATTTAATCTCTGAGAAAGTGCTAGTCACTTCAGTGAAGGTTTCCCGCTCGGGGATTGCTAGATATCTGGTGAAAACTTGCTGGAGGAGTGGGCCTTTGACTTTGGAGCTCGCTGTGCCCGAGAAAAAGTACAGACGGTTTGCGGTGGTCGCAAAAATGTGATATTTCTCCGTGCCGATTACGTTGCAGAAGTGTATACCCGTTATCGGGGTGTTAGTTCCCTTCCCAATGTCAAAGACCTAAAATAACTCCGATTATTAAGGAATCCAGAATGTTATTTTGTAAATATGAGAAAGTTTTTGAACATACTACGCCTTCAGAGTCTTTGTTACCATACAGGGGTAAATAATTCGGTAGCTTGCAAAGAGATGACACAAAGATGTATAAAATGATGTATTTTTGTGTTTTATTCGTGAGTAATTACCTGTTTCCATTGCTTTTCGCCATCCAACATGATGTCAGCTTCAAGCAGAATTCCTTTTGACGTTCCTAACAAAATATAAAATAGAAATTTTATTTTCTCAACTATAATTATTACTTTTTTAATATTAGAGGATTAATGGTAACATTTTAAAATCTGTAGAGATATTTTAACATGCTCTGTTGCATTACATAGTTTACATGGAATATGGAATCAACTTTTTTAGAGAATTTACAATTTTTTATCCAAACCGTCTGCACAAAAATAAGAAACAAACAAACAACGAACCAAGAAAACTAACGACCAAGCAAAATGATGAAGAACGACCGATAACAAGAAGCGAGAAAAATTTTTATTCATTGTGAAATCTTTTATACCAACTATGTCTTAAATTAATGTATCCTCTAATATTGTGGCTAGGGAACTAATGCAAAAACATCGAAAATTATTATTTGGAAACCCAATTGTAATTATTTTACTTATTTTAAGTGTTTCCACAGAGCATGCCTAACAAAAAAATCACTTACCAAGTAAAATAGGACCAGTTTTAGTGTCATATTCATTGCCAATATTCCATCCAACAGCAGTGACTTCATAACTCCCAAACTTAGCAGTCAATGAACGCAATTTTGAGTTTAATTTTCTTGACATGTAATACAGGTCCTGTCCAAATGCCAACAGCATGTGATTTGCAAAAGGATCCAGTGATAATAAGCTAAGCTTAGTTCCTTTTGGTAATATAGTTTCTAAAACCAAAACACAAATAATTAACACACAGATAAAGTTGCTCCCCATTAAATAAATATTTTACCAACCATCATTTTGACTTGGATTACTCAAATTCATCCGAAACAGAATACCATTGGTCATGGCAACAACCAGAAACTTGTTGGAGATTGCTGCATGTGTGATAAGATCTGGAGGGCTGAAATCTTTCTTGGACTTGGTGAAAATCGGCAAATCGGGTTCCATACTCATTTGGATATAGCCAGATGTACTCTGAAAGTTATAATAAAGTTAATTATAAATATCATAATTAGATATCTATTTAGTAAAAGTTGTGAACATCAAAAGTTGTGCCATGTACCATTTCAGCAGTTGAAACTTTTGTTGTTTTGGACTTCTGGGAAGCCTGCTCAAACTGATCGAACATATTCATCTTGAAGGGGTTGTTAAACTAGTCACGGCCCTAATTAGTATCACTTAAAATATTATCACTAAACTACACTGATTAGTTTTTGTTTTTTGGGTGGCGTAAACATGATTCTCAGTACAATCAGCTGGGATGTCAAACTCCTAGCGGCAATAATGAGAACTAAGAATATTTCAAATATTTGTTTCAAAAATTTGTCTTAGGAAGAATAAATATATTATTAACAATTAACAATGGTTTCTAACTTCATAACGCGTTTTAAATTAAGATGGCGGCACTAAAAAACGAAGAAAAAAAAACGCGCATCTTTTCTTAGTCGTTCGTCATTTGTTTCAACAATGACAATGACAATGACAAGCACAAAATTAAACTACGTAATTTATTATCGAAAGATCCAAAAGGACAATATCATTGTTTTTAAGTCTTGTTGACAAATACGCGTTTCCACAGCTCACCAGTTTACCAAAAACAACAACAAACATATAAACAAACTAATATTTTAAAATTTTCATTTAAAAATCCCAAATAAATAGATTCTTTATATTAATAAATAATTATAACATATTTTCGAGTCAATATAATATCTTATTTTATCTTAATTATCCTTATTCTCCGGGGATTTGATTTCGAACGGAGTCGTGTCCGATATGTCCAGAGTCCATATTTCTTGCGTGAGGGTATCAAATTCCTGTTCTTCAGGCGACTTGACAATAAAATCAGGATTAGATTCATGGGAGTCCATCGTAGTCGGTTGTACCTCCTGGTCGCCAGACTCGTCTGCCCCTTCCAACGGTAAAAATGCATTAAGAAGCTCTTCATATTCGCCATTTGTAGTTGCCGCCTTGGAATAACAAAGGATAAGATGTTCATGCTTCTGAAATGGTTTCTGCTGTCCTTCGCCATCGGGATTACTGGGCAAATCATCCAAGGGCAGAAATTGTTTGACAAGCTCGTCAAATTCAAGCGCAGTATCTTCAGTTTTGGTATAATAAAGAATGAGATGTTCAGGAGTTTCCCTTGGTAAGCGTTTTTTTTTCGGGATTGGTTTTGGCGGATCATCAGACATGCTTAATCCTTTCATCTTAGGTATCAGGGGTTCAGGTTCAGGTACAGGTACAGGTTGAGGTTCAGGAGCGTCATCCGGAGATGGATGTACCTCATAAGGTGGCGATGGAATTTCAATTTCTTCATCTTCTTCTTCTATTCTTTTGTTTTTCTTGTGTTTCCTGGAGCGCTTTCTATGCTTGGCGCGCCATGGAGGAAGAGCCGGAACGGCAAACACATTTTCGGGTATAGGCGCCAGTTTGGAAGCCGCCTTCTTCGATCCTTTTTTACCGACGACTCCTTTTGCAACAGCAGAAGTTTGTTTTTTATCAAATTTTTTATTTTTGATTTGCTTGCGCTGTTTCGGTTTGGCAACAGGTTGAACCTCTTTTGATTTGCTCTTCGGATGCTTCGGATCGTAATAATGGTCATTGAAAGCGCAAGGCATCAACAATTTACCACACTTATCACACTCAACCAAAACTAATTCTCTCATTTTTGGCATGTAGCCAAACAACGGACAATCCTCCCGAGGCAGAAGATTCTTTTCCTCAGCCTCTTTGGATCTTATTGGAGACCTGACATTTTTTCGGTATACGAAAATTTTATCATCAACGTCCCACCATCGTTGAGTGGAATATTCAAGTAGACGTACATCAGGCTTTAGAATAAAGTTGATTTGATCTTCGCAGTCATTGCAATCACCGTATAAGGATGAAGGAGTTTTAGGATATATTAAATCCATTTTAGACTGGTCACTTGAAGGCACTGAAGAACACTGTGCAGATTTGAAAAAGCAGCGGGGATTTATAGGCTGTCAACGCACTCTAGATTAACAGAAGATTTCTTCAATTGTTTCGGTATAAACAGTTGAAAGAAAACATTCATAGCACTCTTGATCGCGAGATTTTTGAAAGGTTTCCACGGCATTCTTGATCGCAAACGCTTAGTAACACGCATTTTAATTTTTAACAAATGCAGCGCCTACTATGACTGTAACTAAATATCACTAAATAATATATTTATTTATTTCATGAAACTTGAACTATTGAATATCAAATACAAATGAATTTGTTTATTTTATTAAGAGAATTATTTTTTGTGCAAAAAACTGCAAAATACGGCTATCTTCCTTAATATTTGAGCCGTTTATTTTGAAAGTGACCTAACTCCGTTTTTCAATTTTTTACCGGTTACCATGGTTACAAGTACAACTTCATGTTATTTATCAGTGACGCATTTCAGATTGCTTATATTCAGAGAAAATACGGTACATTTTTTACACATAAGTTTTCCGAATTAATTGAATAACTGAGACGTGTAGTTTGAAAGTGGCCTAACTCCATTTATAGTTACATCAAGATATTTACTATTGATAATGTCGGAAAGCAGCGATGAAGGTAATTTCAATTAATTAGTATTTACAAGTTCACCTCATTTTTGGGACAATTGCGTTAGTTAATTAACCTGTACGTTTAATTAATATAAAACTTAAAATTTAATATTAAATTATAGAAATTATTGCACCCATGAGGAAGAACTGGAGAAGACCACTTAGTTCAGATAGTGAAGAAGAAATAGTAATTAATAATTAAAAAAAAGCGAATAAGAAAAAGAGTTATAGAACAATATTCCTCGTCAGAGGATGAAGATTCAAATAACAATGGAGAAAAGATAGATGCACCATATATCCAAAAAGTGCGAAAGATTAAACGGAATTCAGGAAAAAGATATTGCAGTCAAACCGGAAGTATTGATCATGAAAAAAAAATCGAAAACAAAGATTGTGGTAGTCGGAATGCGTGCACAAAAAATTATAATGAAGAAGAAAGAAAGAATATTTTTGAGAAGTTTTGGGGATTGGCAGATTTTAGCAAACAAAATGTATTACTTCACGAAGCTGTCTGTGAAACCAAGACGATTTTTTTTCAATTTGAAACATCTTAAATTATGTTGAATGGACTTGGGCATCTTCAAATTTTATAATGAATCTGGCTGTTAATTTTGAAAGTGGCCCAACTCCATTCTTGATAAGGAAACGCACGTTATTTACTTAATAATTGCCACTATTTTAACAGGAGCTTTAAATTTAACATCCTTAGAAACGCTTAAGCAGTATGACTCCTTAGTATCTTATACGTATATTTTTAAATTCATTGAAACGCAAAACTTTCAATATCTCGATTTGAAGATAAATGGAGTTCGGCCACTTTCAAAATAAGCGGCTCATTTAATACATTGATACAAAAATTCCGAAAAGGGTGTTAATTTAAAGGATGAAAATTCATATAATTGATTATGATAGTTAATCAAGATGGCTGTGGATAACAAATGCCAATTAGCTTAGGATAACAACCGCAATTTTTGTTCGTCATCAGATTTGTTATCTGACGTCATCACCGCAGTTTCCCCTTTTTATTGTGGCAAGTGTCGAGAAACATGACCAACATGACTAAGCATGTTTCGTCACGCATTAAGGGTGATTTTAATGCCGCTACAAAAACTCTAAAAGTAAAGAACGGCCATTAAACTTTTTAAATTTTACCCAGTTACCTATATTTCGTACAGATGGCGTGTTACGCGAAAAAGTTTCAAACTTTTCTTCAAATTATTCGCAAACTTTTTCAAACAAACTTTATAATCAATCAAAATTACCTCAAAATAAACTATTCTTATCTTATATTCAATTTGTTTGATTTAGATTTATATTTGAATGCTTCATTATCAGTTGCATTGTGTTATAGGGCACGCACGTTGCGCAATCGCAAAAATTTCGTGTTCCTGCGAGTGGCGGTAATATCGATTGCAGGACTCGACCGACCCATTTACCTGCGCCGCGCCGTAACACATTCGTCGGCCGCACGCACAAAATGTAACAACAATCGGCCCAACCAGACGCAACCCCCATTCTCAACCGCAAAACGCGCCGGAGTACAAAACCCGCCACAGTTTCCACCCGGGAGCGGCTAAAATGGACGGCGCCAGCGCCGCAAATCGGCAAAACGTCAACAACTCGAACGCAATCTTCTACGTCTCGTTCGGCGTGTGCCTACTGCTCTATCTCTCCACATACCTGATCGGTTCGAACGATGTGGCTGACCAGGCAATACCAGCAAGCGGCCCACCGGCACCGCCAATCGACGCGCCTCCACCACCGCCCGTAATCAAACGGCGCGTCGCACCACCCAAACCGCCGACGACGCCGGCCGCTTACCAACTCACACACCTTCTACCGGCGATGCTCGACGATTACGTTATCTCCGCCGGCGGCTGCTGGCCGACGGACATCGACAACGAGGCGAAACACCGCCCGCCACCACCACGCGCTGCCAGCGGTCGCCAACCGGAGCCGAAGAGCGTGATGGTCGTCTACGTCGCCGTCGCGCTGCTGCTGATGTCGCTCGGCGCCACGCTGGTGGACTTCTGCAAGGCGAAAAGTGAGTTGACGAACGCTAACGATTTGCACGCTAGTAGAAAGAGGCCCGCGTTGACGCGCCGCTGTAGCTTGGCCGATTTGACTGTTTTAAGGCATACGCGAAAGGAGCTGCTGAGGAAGGAGTCGTTTTGCGCCGCCGGCGACCGCGACTGGAAGATTACACGTCCGCCGCTGCGGCTAGACTAGAAAAAAACAAAATACGCATACATAAACAATGCGCAAAATGTTATATGGAGTCGCCGGGTAAGAGACAAACGTTTTCAATCACATTCACGTTTCCGTAGCGATAATAATAAAAAAAAAACCAATCTTTTCATTGAGTAACTGCGTGTGATCAATGTTAGCGATTCCACGTTGGAAACTCCAAACCGATAAACAAATTGGACACGAATCTCGCCACTGTATGTAGTCGGTGTAACACATATGTAACATTATATAGGTGGTGCCGTTTGTCATTTGTGTGTCCCGCGCTCGCTTTCACTCTTGTTTTGTTTTTTTTTAACTGTAGCATTCGTGCTTGCATTGCTGTAAATATTTGCACAATAAATGAATAGTGTTTAATTTCGATATTTATCAATTCAACTTCGACGACTTCACCAGTCGCCATTTGTCTTCATCCCGCAGCAAACACTGAAAAATAGTGAAACTATTAATTATCAACAAACGTCGAGAAAAAAAAAAGGTAAGCACATTTGTCGTTTCACTTGAAACATTTTTAGTTAAAAACACATCCCCTTTCTCGACCATTTTTACAAGGTTTGCGATTTACAATTCTTTTAAAAACTAGTACAGTGTTCCAAGAGACAAATTAAACAATATTCTGGTTAAAGCATCCGTTTGCCTCGAACACGACGTAAGGTAATAAAATATAATAAATAACATCTTCAACGCGAGCGCGCGCCAACATCAAAACATACGAATTTAAAAGAATAGTTCTTTGTTTTTCAGTATTTCATCTTAACATTTAACAAACTAACAAGTAGTTCTCTCGTTATTCTCATAGTTTGCTTGTTTCTCGTATGGACGGTTCTCGATTATTATTATTATTATTCACAATAACACAAAACTCAGTGAGTAATAATAAGAAATGGTTTCATTAATCGGTTAGGAACATCAATCCGTTTTGTGTATGATTTTTTTTTCGTTTTGATTTTTTTCTTCGTGTATTAGCAATCAGAACAATCAAAAATTGAAACCGCCAATGTTAACGTGTCCCGAATAAAGATTAGAATGAATTTGATTGAAATTGATAGCGCAGTCCGTCAATGAAAGATGAGCGAAAACACACATGGCTATTGAATGGCCGCGTGGCAAAGAAACAAACGCTTTTTTTTTCCACCACGCACTCGAAACGTCTCGTTACAAACTAGTTCCTGATTATGTATACAATTCCTATCAGAAATCGAATAGAAATGTGATAATTGACCTTTCGAAGTATATGTACACAACGTACAAATCTATAATCGCGGGGTGATAGTATAATAATGATGATAATGTGTATAAAATCGCACAGATCGCCTATCTTAACTAATTATTGTCATACAACTAAACTTTGTTTCCACGTCCGCGCGTATAAATAAAATATACCGTGCGATCAGTGCGACTTCCGATGAGTTCAAGTGTTGTACATGTGTGTTTGACAGGTGAGTCAGTCAAGAAGAGTGACGCACGCGCGGTTACTCAATACTTGCTCGATTACTGTTTGCTTCACCGTGCGCGTGGCGTCTTCTCACCCACCGACGGTGACTTCGTATGATAATAACGTGAGGACAATATAACTACTATATAAATTTGAGCAAATTATCACAAAGCTAAGCACGCATTCGCATCAGTCACACACTCGTTATACGCATGTTTGCATCCCTTCACAAAATGACAAAATTCCTTACTCATCCGTCTCCGAAAACACAACTAATCTTAGAATAAAGTTGGACTTAAATAGAAATGGCAATATGATGATTTCCAGCAGAAGTACCACCAACGCTGAAGTTTTTGTTGCTTTATCCTACGATGTTGGCGGTATTCTTGTTAACGATCTCTGTATACGATTTAAATAAAACGAAGTAACAACGCAGTATGCAAAAATGTAGTTTAATGGAGACCCACCAGGCATAATTAATTTTCGTCAATCGCAACAACAAATCGAGGATTCCGGCCCGGATGGGTCGCGTGTGCCCGCTGCACTCTATTTTTTTTCTTACCCAAATGAAAAGACATCGAGCGAAGTGTTGTTAGGCGGCGCGGGGTGCGAAACACGCGTAAGAAACAAATAATTCGATCCTATGTAAATGTTGGTGTGTGGGGGGCTGTAAACACATGCAGTGTGCGCGCACGAAAGGATGCGGGGTTTTTTTTTTGTCTTCGATTAAAACTTGGTAAGCTTCGACGCGGTGACGAGCGGATTCTGCTGCTCGATGAGCTTGCGTCCCTCGGCTTTATAGTCGTACTTACAGTCGTGCGACTCGGAGTAGCGGTGCTGCGCACAGAATATCAGCCCACAGCGACAGTTGTAGATGTTGGTAATGTTCAGACGCTTATTGCACTGCCCGCAGCGCATGCGCTTCTTGGTCACCACGGCGGGCAGGTCGCGTTTGATCATGGCGCCGGTGTTACTACTGCTGGTGGTGGTACTTGTGGTGCTAGTGGAGCAGGCGACGCTGGGTGTGATCGGCGGAGGCGGCACATCGGAGGATACCTGCGCTTGGAAATCAGTACGCAGCGTTAACTTTTTTATATCCGTGGCGAGACTACCGACTTCCAGAGATTCTTCCTCCTCTTCAAACTCGTCCTCTACACCACGAAAATAATTCCCCGTGAGGTCCAATCCACTACTGCCAGAGACAATACTCGCAGGAGGTGGGTTACCGGAAGAGATATACTTATCAAATTCAGCATTATAGTAGCCAAAAACATCCTGCTCAAGATCATCGTAGTCGATGTAGTCGTTCTGCACGCGTTCAATATTGCAAGAGTTGCGTTCGGGCACCTCTGGCGATGGAGACTGCGCCAGCGGCGTGAGGAAGTTGTCATTGGAGTTGCGCGACAGGCGGCCGTAGAGCGGACTACGTGCTGTCACACATGGCGGCGGAGGCTGGAACGGTGTGTGGGAGTGCGCATGCGTATGCGCAGCTGCATACCGCGGAATTGCAGGCAGACGGTAAAAAATATCCTCTGGATCATCAGGGACAGGCTCAATCATAGGCCCGAGGCCAAAATCTGCGCCGTCGTAGTCAAGACTCGCTCGTCGCTGATACAAACCAACCTTACACGGCGCAGGCGAGCACGCAGCGGATAATTCCGCCTGATGCGCCTCTTCATGCGCTAAGTCTTGCTCTTGCTCCTGCATATACAGCCCGACTCGTGCCATGCGCAGTAGATGGTGAGGCGTTTGCGTGCTCTCCTCGACCTGTGGATCAAACACGTGCAGATTATGCAGGTAGCTGCCGGATGGGCGAGTGCTACGCGAGCGGTGCTTCTCTTTGAGTGCCCACTCGCCCAGCCCCATATCAATCGTGCTCTCAACCGCCGTACTGGCGTGTTTCGTCGGCGGGTCACCCTTCGCTTGACGCAATGCGCGCAGATGGCGCATGCGTCGCTTCAACAATTGCAACTTATTGGCCATCTCGACATCCTCGGCCATCTTGGCGAACATCGTCTCGGTTTGCTGGGGATCCTCACGCGTTATTCTATCCGTCGACCAAGCAAGAGGAACATGCGGTACATCGTCCTGTTCAGCGCAAGAGCAGGTACAATAATCAGTCTGAACTGCATTATCCACTGATTCAGGCTGTGCTGTTTCGCTAAGTGAAGCGCTCCTGCCGACTGCTTTTTCAACCTTGGTTGTAGCCTTTGAAGTGGTTGGAGTGGATGTCGTCGAATCTGACTGCGAGGACATATCGGGCGGGTATGGCGAGTAGCTGCCGTCCTCGTTCTCAATCACACGTAGCACGTTCAGCCCCTCGGCGTCTTTATACAAAAGCACCAACACCTTCGAGCCAGGTTCCAACCCCTCCGTCCTGTTGGTAATAATATTGTCACTTATATAACATTAACAAAACGCGCATCGGATGGCACAGAATTAAACTACAAATTCAATTATCACGGAAATTTTTACTAGCAGAGACCCTGAATTTTTTTTAGATCATTTGTCACTATTATTGACACGTTTAAAAACAGAAAAAATGTAGTAACCATAGAAATAGAAACGCTACATTTTATGACATTGAATAAACTTGAAAAATGCTTAGGCATCGTGACAAGTAATAAACTCACGGTTGTTTAAAATTTAATGTGCGTGTCAGAACTTACTGGACATTTTCAATGAGCTCCTTGAGGTCCCTGCGGACGACGTGGTGGTCACAGGACACAAAACGACGCGTGGAAATCGGCCCACCGCGGATTGACAGCACTAGTTTCAGAGTGCTTCCATCTTTGATGCCGTGATCATTCAGTATTGCATAGTCATTCATCACTTTCATTTGATACAGAATGTTCTGATGGTGAACTGGAATACCTGAAAGTTTCATTGCGTAAATTTCTATGGTTTTTTATTACAAATTCACGAAATGTCATCACTGACATTACATTTTCATGCATTACTTCATATAATTACAGGCATTATTTTATTTTTTATGATTAAATAGATAAATTGTGTTAAAATGCATTAAATATGATAGACTTGCAGATTTTTGGCACAAAAGTGTATAGATTAAATGCAGATTTGTTGTATTTACCTTCTACACGTTGAATTTTGTTCTTGATGTCGAGAATGGTCTCCGTGGGGTAGACGCGTACATCAAACACAGTGCCGGTGAGTGTTTCGACGGTCACCTCCATCGGCGGATCGTCTAGGGGATCGGATTGACCATCCTCGGACATCTTTTTCGCGCGCAATAAATTACGCTAAAAATTGGACTGACTACAGTAAGGATAGCTGCACGTGAGTGGCGAATCAACAACCGGATGTCACCCGGTTGCGCAGCAACACCGGCCCGGGCGGTGAGCGTCGCAGTCACCCTGGACGGCGTCGTTTGTGTTCGTCACGTGCGAGGAGCGTCACCACCTCCAACAACATTGACTCATCTGCAACAATACAAGATGTCAACAATCCAATCTAATAAAAAAAACCCAACAGGGAGTTGTCACTTTCATAATACTAGTGATAATAATGAAAAATATACTGTTTTGGTTTAATTTATAGGACTTGGTGTTATGTTTAAGGGTTGTCAAATGTAAAAGATGTGAATTTCAAGGCAGAAAAAACCAAGTTGGCGAGTATTAGTCATACCTGCTGGTGGTGTGGTGTGCTGGCGGGTGGCGGCTGGATGCTGGAAGACCCAAACCGCACGCACGCGCGCGTTCAACACGGCATACCCTCCAATGATGCAACGGCGACGGTGACGGCGTCGAAAGCGGTCGCTCCGGGACGCTGCAGCGAGTGCTAATATTATGCGCTGGTCGCGCGCACGCGAATCGAGGACGTGAACGTGAGCGCTGCGCCCTACAAATCGCCGACGACACCGACGGCGATGTGCATGCTGCACTGGCGCGCGCGACCGAGACGCTGGCTTTGCTGGCGGTTTTCGCGGTGCGAGAGCCGCCGCGAGCAACACCTAATCAGCCCGCGATGAACGCACTCGAACACTCGGAGTGGTGATTACACCGATTACACCATCGGGGGTGCTGCGACTGTTTGTCAAAAAACTCGCTCAGATGTCAAGATTTTACGTCTCACGTTTGCTGCGCACGCGCGCTGCGTACGTATTTGAATTGGCTGCAAACAACTATTATTATCGCTTATGTAAGAGTTAAACCTGATTAAAATTATGATTTACGCTCAGCGACGATAAAAATCCAAGGCGAACTAATTAAAATTCACAATTGAGGCACAAAAGTTAAAATATTTCAGGCATTGTTTCGACACTTTCATGCATAGGCAACTACTCGTACAACAATCACGCACTTAGAAACAAATCCGCGTTTGTTTAATAACTGATAACCGCGGTGTTTTCCTCTCTTGTTAGTGATTCGTAAAAGATGAAGGACACAATTAAAACCAGAAACACAAAGCGAATGGCCAATAACTCTATAATTAAACATCAACTCATAGCGTAAAAATGCAGAAAAACAAATCGCAATCAATACGGTTTGTGTACATTCAATTTGTTTAAGTGCGAAAATGTCGCAACAGTCGCATTATTGTGACGTAGAAATAACTATGATTGAAAGCGGAAGTTTTGCTGGAATAATCGCATTGTAAATACAGTTCTACACCGTCACACACCCACGACACTTATATCGTCAAGTTTCTGTCCCTGAAAACGGTACGTTTTTGGATTTAATTTTATATCGTGTCAATTATTTTACCTGTTTATTTATTAATTACCACCTTGCAATTATATTTCGAAATTTGTTGTGATATTACGATCGTATTTTGCGAACAATGACTGATTTATCAAACACATGGTTTGCGGGTGTGTGTGGGTGGACGCAACCTTGAAAGTGTACACTTGGTTGCCTATAGTGAAGTGTGAATTAGTTTGCTGATATTTGAAAGTTTGCAAGTCGCCCGGAAGGCATTTTTTTATTATTTGCGAGGTAATTACAAAGAAAGTATGTTTTTTTAGATAAAGAGGAAGTTGTTGATTAAGAATAATCACGAAATAGTTAATATTGGGTGCGTGTTTTGCGAAATTGGAGCGTTTTTGTCAAATTTGTTTTGAGAAGTTGTAAAAACTTCTTGTTGCGCGCTGTTTTGCGATCTTTTAATAAGTTTTAAAGACTATGCAGGTCTATATATTTTATAAAAACTTTCCTATGGTAATTGTAGCTAAGAAAAATTGAATTTAGGTTAATTTCAAAGGCAAATTCACTTTGTTTAGTGCAAAATTTCGTGTTTAAAGTTGAAAATTTTCAGAAACAATTTTCGAAGGTTTTTACTGATTTTAAGCAAGTTTAATGCATGAATTGTGAAAGAAGAACTCTTAAACTTACTAAAACCGCCGGAAAACTAGTTAGAATAAATATATTTATCCTGTTGGCCTTGGCATCAAATGTATTCAACACAAAGCGCATTTTTCCGCGTCAGATGCAATTATACGAAGGAGGCAAACAAAAAAGGTTGTCGGAATCAGTCGCGAAATTGTTTGCCATTCAATCGAAACCAATTTATTCCAGGAAGTTCGTCATTAGTTGGAGTGCATAAAATCAACATCGCTTATTTAAATAATATGCGCGCCTTGCTGTAGCGACCGCGCGCATACATTACTTCACGAACTCCGTGTCTGCTGCTTTCTAGAAAAGCTTTTGATGTCAATCCGCGGCTGATTCGCGCCGCTCGCCGGCGTAATTATGCGCGATTCGCGATAATTCGATAGCATAACGCGTTAAGACAATCCTTAACCCGGTTCGTTTTCTAGCGAAGCCGTTTAGCTCAATTAAGGTGTTTAGATAACTCGCGGCGGCATTCGAAGTCAATGTCAGCTCAAGGATAACCTCGAAACCTCGTTGTGGCAGAAGAAGCGCGACGTGGAAATGCAGCACAACGCGCCGCGCCGCATTAATGATGAGAGGAGATAGATGCTGGCGGGCAGGAGGAGGCGGTTGGAGATGGTAGGAGGATGCATTGCATAACTTGTCTTTTCCCAGCGTGTGCAGGTGGGATAGCAGTACCACGCCGCTGAAAGACACCGTGCGGCACACGTCGCCGATCAGTCGAGCGCCTCGCATGGCATCGCGCACACTGAGCCCTGAAAGTTCCTCGAAATTCCAGCCACAATGCGACCGCACGGATTTATTATCCTGTTCGCGCTTGCCATCGTTGTCGTCGGAGCTGAAGAATGCAACGATGTCATCGATAATCATCTTGGTACCAAGACACCCTATCGCGTCGTCGGCAATTTAAATCACAATCGGATTGAATATTCAGGTATTTATTCCTGTTTTTCCATAAAATAATTTGCAAAAAATTAAATTTTTGTGAGCAGGTTGTGTGCCGCAAAAAATTTGGATGTTGAGCAGACATGGCACGCGTAATCCCAGCCGTGAATACATCGATGTGATGAAGGGCCGCCTCTCGGAGTTGAAGCGCGCCGTCCTGGAAAGTGACAATGGTAACAACGCCGCCCGCACGCGTCCGCGCAGTTATTTGTAACACTTTCGTTTTTTGCATGCCACAACAGAGCTCATCAACTCCGATTTGCAATTGTTCGAGAAGTGGAAGGTCAATTTAGAAAACGACGACGAGAAGCTGCTGACGACGGAGGGCGCCAACGAAATGGTGCTGCTCGCCGAGCGCATGCAGGCGCGCTTCCCCGACATCTTGTCGAACGTGTACAGCAACACATCTTATCAGGTAAATTACAGTCGCGCGCGCGGTGATTATACAATACCCTTATTATATGTAATGTAATGTAATGTAATGCATGTGAGATTTGTTTCGCTTGCGCAGTTTAAATTCACGCACACCAAACGCGCCAAGAGCAGCGCGCACTACTTCGCCATCGGGCTCTTCGGCAAACTCACCGCGAAGGACGTCTGGTTTCCGGAACCATCGACGAGAGATCCTATTTTAAGAGTAAGTTATTTTCATATTAATTATTTGACAAATTAATGCATGAAATTTAGTTTTACAAATTGTGCAACAAATGGCGGAAAACCGTCAAGAAGAATCCCGATTCCCTCGCAGAGTTGAAGAAGTTCAAAGACAGCGAAATCGCCGGTATTATCGTCGCCAACATGGAGAAGAAACTCGGCCTGAAAGAAAACGCGCTGACTTTTGGTAAGTCTACAAAATATTACAATAAATATAAAAATAATTCACCTACCGGAAGTGGCATGTTGTTTTTTTATGCATGGATGATATTTGCGCATAGAAAACAGTAAATTTCTATGAAATATACAATGTAGCAGTTGCAATAAGAAATAATACCGCGGCTAACGGCGCATTTGCACAGAATTCCTCTCATTGTCTCAGCGGTGGCTTGAGGTCACATAAATTCGAGACGGTCCTAAAACCGGAACGTGCCGCACCATTAAAACAACGGTGCTGCCAGATCAGAAATTTAGGCAGCAGCGCGGCGCTTGAATGAATAAATCGCGGCCGCATGCATCTATGCCGAATAACTTACGCTAATCATTTCCAATTCCAGATGACATCCAGTACATGTTCATCACGTGCGCGTTCGAGACGGCGTGGAGCCGCAAGAAAAAATCGCCATGGTGTACTGTTATCGACCTAGAAACATCTAGGGTAAAAAAAGACGAAATAACAAATCTAATTGCGCTTTCCGGCTGTGTGGCCGCCCGTAATTTATGTTCGAATGCTTTCACATTTCAGTACTTGGAGTATGCGGAAGACCTGAAGTACTACTGGATCGACGGCTACGGTTACAACATCACCTATCGCCAGGCGTGCCCCGCTTTTGGCGACATGTTCAACCATCTCGATGACCCCGAACCGTATCCGCGCGCCGTGCTGTACTTCACCCACTCGGGCACGCTGCTCAAGATGATCGCACACCTCGGGCTCTATCGCGACGAGGAGCCGCTGCTCGCCGATAATATGAATGAGAATCGTCAGTGGAAGGTCAGCAAGATTGACTCGTTCGGCACGAATTTGGCTTTTGTTGGTTTTAAGTGAGTTTTTTTCAAATTCAAATCAACTTAAAACTACTGAGAATATTCGTTGTTATTTTTGTGATAGATGTAAGACAGGTAAAAAGGTGTTGCTGTTGCACCAGGAGCGTATTGTACGCTTCCCATTCTGCCCCGATACCGATCTCTGTGATCTGTCGCGCATCAAGGAGGTCTTCACCGAGAGTCTCGACCAGTGCAACTTCGAGGACTTCTGTGAAACCAACCAGAAATATTAATCCGGGAGGAGATCGAGACGTATTTATTTATTAACTTATTTTGCTATGTACTCACCCTGTATTTTACCGTATACATGAATAAAACCGTGTGCCTTCCTGTCGAGGGTGGCGCTCAATTCGTAATCAAACAATTTTTTAATCAAAAAACCCAAAAAAATCACAAAATTCATTCAAAATAAATTAATTCCTTAACAAAATAAACATGTTTATGTTTGTTGCAATTCCCATGTAGGTACAACAGGTCATGCGTAGGAGGATAAAACATGAAAGAGTCATCGTACTCGCAAGACACGTGTATAAGAACCTAAAGATTGAGTTGAATCGCGTGCGCAGCATCCGATGATGCCCAAATAAAGCAGTAAATGATTTTGAAAGTCGAAAAGATTTGGGCTAGCTAACGGTGTGCGTGAACTTTGCCGAATAGAAAGCAATCATCAGAGATTTCGTCGATTCATCGCGTCGCGCGCGCGCGCGCCTGAAAGAAATGAGTACAGAGCAATTTTATAAATTGTGCTGTTTATTATAGTTTTCATTTCATATCGTCATTATAATCATAATATCATCGTAAAGCATGTTTATAGTAAGGGAAGCGCTTGTCTACAAGCCGAATATGTCATTTCTCCCTATACAAGAACTCGTACCAACAGTCGATCGGCATCGCGAGAGTGGCCTTCCATTTGTTTTTGTTTAAATACTTTCCTCGCGTTTAAATAGTAACTCCTAGTTTTAGTAATATTACAGTCTTAACAGTTATTATTATCATCATCGTCATGTCGTATCGTATCGATTCGTAAATATTTCAGCAATCAAATAATTCACACGCACGCCGAAGAAACCACCAGCTACGCGCGTGTGTGTCTAAGTAGTTATAAATAGCTAAATATATCTCTATATCATTTGTATTTGTTTCGTTTTGTTTGTTTGTTTGTTTACCTTTGGTTTATCATTTTTTGCACAGTCGCGCGGAGCGATGATACCTGACAAAATTAGATTTAGCTGGGTCGCTTGGAAAGAGAGATTGTCCGAGAGATAGAACGAATGCGATCGACATTGGTACTTGAACAACTATACTTGAATAATCTATATTTCACATTATAATTATTATTTTATAGGTATTGTAGTAATTGTTTGTCGAGTTGGTTGTTGTTGTTGTTGATGTTTTTTTTTCTCATTTTTAACGCCGAAAATGTTATAGGTGGCGGAAACCGCCCGCGATTTGGAATTTCGTGTCTTTGTTTGTCGTTTTGTGTTACATCGGTTTTGACTTTAAGGCTTACACTTTAAGTTAATCGCACACTCGTACAATAAATGTTCTTTACACAATAAATCAATGGCATGTTAGTGTTTTGTACTATTTTTATCTTATTAGTTTCGTGTTTGAAGCGTTACATGACTCCGGTTTCGCTGGTTTTGCGTTTTAGACATTTCTTTGATGCCGGGCGGGCGCATTGAAACTTTTTTTTAAGCACAAAATACAATTTTTGATTTCAATTTTAACTTAAACCGAATAATTTCACCGCAAAAATAAAATTAAAACATAATTCTGAGAATTGATTACCATTTAAATCAAAATTTATACATGTATGGGCTCATATCACAGTTTATACCCATTAAAACCATAAACAACAAAAATCTAATTGTTTAAAGTGATTTTTTTTAAATTCTGGGTAAAAAATGTTCAAACCAAACGCGAAAATAATAATTACTTCTCAAATATTCCATAGATATGAACTTTTTAAAGTAAAAAAGCAAATTTCACACTTTTTACACGTCCTGAATGCAATTTAATTGCAAATTTATCAAACATCTCTTCTAAACTCTTAAATACACTTGTTCTACAAGCAATACTTTGTTATGATGCACATTAAAATCTGTTTTAACGGCCCATCCTCCCAGCATCAATAAAAGTTTGTTAAATAATTGTTCATAGCATATGTTTTCTTCTTCAATTTACTCACATTCACATTTCTTGGGGACTCCTCTAAAATTATAAACACGTAACTCTATAGGTCAGAACTGAACGCCTTCCAGGTGGGTGTGTGTGTGTGTGTGTGTGTGTGTTTGGGTCGGGGAAGAATCTGACGCATCGGTATTCCGGATGAGTGTGGGCTTGGATGTTCGCGTAAATATCGTAGAATCAAAAATATCTTTATCGTTTGTACTTGACCGCTATAAATGTCTTTGTTTCTAGTTTTGTTTTGTTTGTTACTTCTTTGTTTTGGTTGTCGCACTGCGTCGTCTTTTGTGTTCGCTAGTCTCTGCTTAAAATTAAGTATTAAACTATTTATTGTTAGTTATGTCTATCATTATCCATTATCCGTACCGTTAAAAGTTAAGAGAAGTTACATGAAAACCTTAGCAATAAGAATAAACAAACTTTACTTACACGCAAATAGACGTAATAATAGTGTAATAAAGGTGAACCTTTCAGGTTCAGATAAATCGCAATCGGGCAACGTTCGTAGACAACAATTTCATTTCTCATTAAATTCAAATTTTCTCATAAGTCTCAATCAAATCTCCATAAATATGCAATCAATAATTTCACTTCTCGTTTTTCCTAAAGCTAGCGCAATATAAATTTTGAAAACATAATAAAGTCATACCAAAACATCAATTTAGATCATTTTGTCGTTCACAGGCAGTTGATTTTGTTCATAATGCACCGAAATTCTTGCGTTTTTTTTGTTTTGTTTTGTTTCTGTGTATGTATTTTTTTTGTATAATTTGCAGAAATGTGTGGACTTATTGCGTTTCGATCGGTGTGTAAATCAGCTCGTCGTTCTCGCCGGGGGTTAGTTAGTTAGTGTATTATTAGTGTCATTTGCTTCGGATTGGTTTAAAGTATACCTGATGAATTGTTTGTTGTCGTCGGAGCGGCAACTTGCAATTGCAGGGTGGGCGTACTCGACGTGCCCTGCTGGGAAAGTTCGGCCTTGACACGGCGCGCGATGTGCGAACGCGTGTGCTTCCGCAGATGATCCTTTCGATAGAATCCTTTGCCGCATTCAGCACAAATGTGCCGTTTTTCACCTGGAAATTAATTTGAATTTTATAGAAATCATCATTTTAAATTAGCGCTGGTTATGGGTACCTGAGTGTATGACGAAATGCAGAGTCAACTGCTCCTTTCGTTTGAAGGCCTTGAGGCACACGGTGCAGACATAGGGCCGCTCCGGATTGTGCGACTGCTTGTGCCGCGTGAGATGGTCCTTCCGCTTGAGGCCGGCGCCGCAAATATCGCACACGAATCGACGCTCGAGCGTATGCCCGACAAGATGCTGTTCCAGCAGTTCCTTCTCGGGGTACGCCATATGGCACTCCGGACAGCAGTACAGAGTGCTGCCATCGAGCGCCGTCGTCAGCCGAATCTCACCCGGTTTCGGGCGCGGCTTCTTCTCCTTCTCCACCTTCTTCTTTTTCTTTTTCTTGGCAGTGGTGGCGGCGGCAGGTGGCGCCGGCGCCGGATTCAGGTTGCCGAGCGTGCCCAGCGTGTTGATGGACTGCGCCCCAGCAGCCCATTCGGGGGGCTGGCGAGCGTGTTACTCAACGCGTTGCTGTTGGCATGCAGCAGGTTGATGTCATTGGGCACGCTGAGTTGTTGCTGCGCGCTGGAGCTCTCCTTTTTGATAGTCTCCGCGGAGTACTTGAGGAAGTGGTGTAGGCTGAGCGGCAGCGTGGAGGCGGGCAGATGTGACAGATAATCAGCAACAGTGGATCCAGGCGTCGCAAGAGATTGCCACGTGGAAGGCATGGCGTTCTGCTGCGTCAGCTGGTGTCCCCGTGCCTCCTCCTTGGCACCTTTATCACCACCCGCCTTATCCGGCTGATTCTGCATAGCAGCGCATAGTTCCTGCGCTAGTTCCTGATGATCATAGCGTTTGTCCTGCTGGCGCACGTTCTGATGCGAGTACACCGCCTGATTGAGATAGTTCGCCGCCTGGTACTTGTTGTTGACCATGTGCTGCTGCGACGGCGTTGCCGGATGGTGCTGCGTGAACGACGGCACCCCGTTCGCCGTGTACCTATTGCTATTCGTTTCCTGATTGCATAGAGCATTGTTGGCGGACGTGTCGTGCGTGAACTTCGCCGCGAACTGATGAATGGTCGGTATCGTCGTCGAGAAGTGCCCGCCGAATGGCGAGAAATTCATGATGGAGAGCGCGGAGTCAAATTATTGCCTGCAACAGCCCCAAACACCAACATCCAGCTTGAATGATTCACGAGCGCAGCAGAAAGTTCAACATTTTCATGACCTTGAATGACTCACAAAGATGACCTTCAACTGACAAACAAATTTTCACACTCTCGCATAAAAAAAGTGGAAGGAGCAATGAATTTCCACGCTGTGGAAAAATGATCGCGCCCATCGACAGGACACATGCATGATATCCTTGATCGCCGCGAGGCAATTAAAGAAGCAGGCATTCCTGCGGCGACTATCCCCAAAGCACTTAACCGCACAAAACTATTGATTTTCCATTTGCAAAACGCCAGCTTACCATATTTAAAATCCTCGCAAGTCCGCGCTTTTCCTGCAGCCGCCCCGTCTACTCCACTGGCGCGCACAGAGACAGAAACACGCACGATTTTCTCAACGTCGACGTCCTTCCGCTACACGATAACACGCACTGCGACTGTGTTTACCTGCTCGCCATTTCGCGTTTCAGAGACTGCGATTCGGCTCGCGCGGCGCATTATCAGCGAAGGAGCAGCACGGGCGCGCAGTACGCGTTCCGGCCGCGGTGGGGTTGGGGCTGCGCGCGTGATTCGCCCGGCTCCAGGGGGGAAGACAAGCGGCGCGCGCGCCCCGACGCCGCGCGAAAGGGTTGCGAAACTGGACGCGGCGCGTGCGAATGCGAAGAAGACACACACACACCACGGGAGGACGACGACACCCCTGGTCGTCGGCGCGCTGGTTCGCGATCGCGTATTGTTGTCGCCGAACAGGTTTGGCGCCGGCGATTCGTAACAATTCGCAAAACGTGCGCGCATCGCCCCTCGCCCCTGCACCCTCTTTTTCGGCGCGCTTGGTCAACGGGTGAAAAATAAAAGCAGCGAAGACAAAAGCGAAGAAAATCAAATCGCGCCGGAGGGATGGGAGATGCCAACCCTGCCGCAGACCCGCACTGTTTTTATCTTCAAATAAAAACTTATCTTTTTACAGCAAAGGGTGCGAACGGAATTAAATTCAATCCAATCCTGGTTTAAAAACCCAGCGAAATCAATTTGCATATCGCAATATTTCAATGAAACAAGTACTTTGCGTATGCAGACGTGAGAAACAAAACGATTTTTCTAGACTTCCAACCCCTAACAGGTTTTTTCCAGTGCACGTTTTCATTTTTACGTGAACAAAATCTTTCAACGTCTTCAAACTGCGCTAAACTAATCGCAAATTACCAACAAATGTTACGCTGAAACACGCAGCGCCATCTCTTGTCCATATTTTCATTAAAATAACTTTGTTTACGTTCCTGTAACCCTACTTCCTTAGCGACGTAAACAAACCGAATTCTCCGGTAAAACAAAAGTGAAACAAACCGGAAATCATCATGGAAACACCCTCGGAGGTGTCGCATTCCAAGCTGACGATCGTAATCCACCCTGGCTCACTGAATCTACGAATGGGCCGCGCTGCAGACCTCAACCCAATCAATGTTCTTCACGCAATTGCCCGTAAAAGACTTCCGGGCGGCCCAAAACACATCGACCCTTTTCTACCTCCACGAGTAGAACTACAAAACGCGCAGGAAATCGAAGAGGCACGTCTCAGCGTCTCCCACACTCTACAATCCTGCCTACAATCTGATGGCAGGCGACGCTATGCAACACCCCCACAACAAATCGCCGCCTTCAACAGAAGAAGCCAACCTGAAGCCCTCACCACATCACCGGACAAATGGGTGGAGACCAAAGGTGACATCGTTGTAGGCAACGACGTGCTGCGATTAAACCCCGAGGAGGACTTTAATATACACTTCCCTTTTAGGAGAGGTGATCTGAACATCCATGCTGGTCCAGGTGGATCCCTCACAGCAGTGATTGCCAACCTGCAAGCCATCTGGACCCACATCCTTGAAACCCAATTCGCCATCAACCCAAAAGACTATCCGTATTATAAAGTAGTACTAATCATTCCCGACGTATACAATCGGACATATCTCCGAGAATTATCGAATATGCTGCTGTTAAAGATCGGATTCGGGGGTTGTTTCGTTGTGCAGGATCACGTCGCGGCAACCTTTGGGTCCGGGTTGAGTTACGCGTGCGTAGTGGACGTGGGCGACCAGAAAACGTCGGTTTCCTGCGTGGAGGATGGCATTTGTCATCCAAATACACGCGTACGGTTGGATTACGGCGGGGCGGATATCACGCAGACGTTTTTCTGGTTGTTGCAGAAATGCGCGTTTCCGTACAAAGCATGCAGCGAGAAAAATAAATTAGATACGGTATTATTGAGACAACTGAAGGAGCAATTGTGTCATGTGAACTTGGACATTTGCGGCTCGCAAGAGAAGACTTTTACTCTCCAACAACCGGATCAAGTTGTGCAGCATTATACGATTCAAGTGGGCGATGAGTGTATTGTTGCCGCGTTGAGTTTATTTACTCCTGAACTCCTGGGAGTGACGGGGTCCAAACTGGTACACACCCAGAAGCGGAATATGGGTGATCCTGAAGATCCACATGATGAAAATTATCTACGCGATATTCGCCGTAAAGGTAATAAATTCTACATTAGAAAATTTATTTTTTTTAATCAATCTTCATTGTTTTGAAAGGTTTTAAGGATAATTTAGAAATCCAGAATGAAAACGAAGCTTACCTGGAGCAAACGCAAAGTCAACAGAGTAATAACGAAGATGATATTGTCGTGGACGCCATTGATACGGTCCCCACGATGACCGACAAAGATTTCGTTGTGAATCCTGGGCAAATCCTTGGATTGGACCAAGCAGTGTTGCAAAGCATAGATAGGTGTCCCAGTGATGATTTAAAACGCAAGATGTATGGGTGTATCCTCGTCGTGGGCGGCGGGATGAAATTTGCTGGTATTGGTATGTGGTTGCAAAACCGCATCAGTTTGCAGATTCCGTACCACTATCGCGCTGAGCAGCTCGACATCATCACGAATCCACGTGACATGGATCCCGCCATGGTGGCGTGGAAGGGCGCCGCCATTATGTCCTGCCTGGAGACCGCCCAGGAGCTCTGGATCACGCCCGCCGAGTGGGAGAAGATGGGCGTGAAAGTTCTCCGCGAACGTGCACCGTTTACATGGTGATATTTTCTTACAGACATTGTAATTTAACATTCAAAATAAGGTTAGTTTTGTGTACGGCGCGTAATCTCGTCAAAAACAAAAATGAACAAGTTGTACAGAAGTATATTTTTTAACAGAAGCCCCCATTACGTTTTTGTTTTATTTTTTAATCTTTTTAATAATGAAAAATAACCTGTTCAACATTGTATAAAAAAGTACTTTGCTTGTCCTACTACATACATATATTATTCTTTAATTAATTATTGAATTAATTCTTAAACAGAAAGAAACTCCAGAAGTGTCCTCGTGATTCGCGCACCCGCTGCCAGCGGGGCCGGATAAATTCCATGATCAAATGCAACACGTCGCTGCTCGCTCTTCTGGACTCGCGTATCATTTCATAAACAACAAAGCTTCATATATCGCGTACCATCGCATACCGTTTAGTACTAGATTTGGTCCAAATAGTGTGTTTGTTTATATTTTTCGATCATTCTTCATCATCATCATCATCATCCTTATCGGGCGCACCGTTGTTATTAAACCAGCCAGCACATTTCAGTGGCAGTACTCCTCAGTCACCTCAGATTATAAGAACAATAATCCCCTCCTCCTCATCACTCTAGTAAAAAATCTTTTGTGTTAAAATAAATCAAAACATTCTCGACCGTAATTGATTCAGAGTAATCGCGTTGTAATGTCTGCATGTGTATAAAATAAAAATAAAGTAAATATTTTCTCGATTCCTACGCTTGTGCTCCGCGCGTTGCGTTTACTTCACATATCTAATAATTAACAATACAATGATTTCGTCGCTGCTCGCAATCCAACGACTCAGACGCTAATCTAATCAATTCTTTGTCGGTAAAATCAGCGCACGCAGAGTTCTTCTGCGTCTCCTGCTGTCGGATTGCTTATCGTTTTTCACTTCGCTTACAATCGGCTTGAATTACGTATATGAAACCACGCATATATGCATATCGAAAACATTTTCACACTCCACTCGATAGCAATCGAATTGTCACAGGCGTCGATTGCTGCCCAGCGGAGTTTACAAACAGAAAGGTTTCGTCCTCACACGATTAGGATATATTACTATAAACAGTGCATAACAAATGTATAATATAACAAGTTGTAAAGAGACAAATATGTTGAATTTCATTCAAGCCGGTTAAGAATTTCAAACGAAATGTGAAGGAAAACCGGAAGAAAAGTCCGCAAGCTGCTTGCTGCTCATGATGCGCAACATCTCCTCCTCCTCGGCGTTAATCGTTAATTGCTTAATTTAAATGTTACTTCCTATCGTCTAGTTAAATATACGAATATATTTTCTACGCGTCTGATGCAGCAGTGCATCATCAACAGCGCCCTCTGGCCGCCGCATCAAGCGCATCGATTTATATTTAATCTTAGATATTTATACGTTTAGATTGGAAATAGCACCTTATCGATTTCTACTTCTTGTAAATTAAACTCAAAGGTTCGCATTTAGAATCAGCTTGCAATCGTGAAGTAATGCAACTCCCACTCTCCTCATCATTCGAAAATCGCCGCCCCCGAAAACAATTGCTATGCGGGGCGCGTGTGAATAATAAACTTAAGTTTTTCTGTTTTTCTGTTTTGTTTGTTAAAATCAAAACGATCGCAGCGCGGTATATACACTCTCTTTACATGTTCGCGCTCATCGCCATCGACGTCCTCTCGCCGCACTCGTCGTTTGTATAAATATAATATTATCTATGCGCTATTTACAAAAGTGTCATCGTGACGTTGCGACGCGCCGTGCCCGCCGGGCGGGCGGCTAGCTGGCGCGCGCCGGCCCCTCCGCTGCGCTCAACTACAACAGGTCAACACAAGTTTGCGATTGCTGACAGAGACTTGAGAATGCAAGGTACGTGTGGTGCATGGTGTGTGTTGCGTGCGTGGTGGGCGGTTGGTGGGTTGGTTCTAGTCGGGCAATATGGTGATGGTGTCCGGCGACGTCGGCAACACGACTGTACTTACTTGGCTCATCTCACCGTCGGCGTTCGCCACCTGTAGTTGTTGCTGCTGTTGCTGCTGCTGCGGCACTTGGATCTGCACCGGTATGTGTATCGGCGTCTGTGATGACGGCACCTGCAACAAGCCACAGCAAGCAAAGATGTGTAGTATCGCCGACAGAGGGAGACACTTAAAAAAAACTCTAGTAAGTAGTGGGGGGGAAGCTCACCATCAGCTTCCTGTGACTTGGCCGATACTAAACTTTTACCTGTATGGTGACATGTTGGGAGTTCTCCAGAGCTTGTTGCTTCGCAAGCGCTTCCGCCGCCTGCGCCTGTGCTTGCTGCTCCTTCGCGCGCCGCGTGACATGCGACCGCGCATGTTTCCGCAAGTGATCCTTACGGTAGAAACCCTTCCCGCATTCCTGACACACCTCCGTCTTTTGCCCGGAGTGAATGACATAGTGTAGATTCAGATGCTCTTTCCGTTTGAAGCCTTTCGTGCACACGCTGCACACATAGGGCCGTTCGGGATTATGCCCGAGTTTATGACGCTCCAGGTGCTCCTTGCGCTTGAGCCCCGCGCCGCATATGTCGCAGATAAACCGCCGCTCGATCTTGTGCCCGACAAGATGCTGCTCCAACAGCTCCTTCTCCGGATAGGCCATATGACACTCTGGACAACAGAAGAGTGTTGTGCCGTCCAGCGCCGTAGCGATATGCACCTGGCCGGGTTTGGGCTTCTTCGGCTTGGGCGGCTTCTTCTTGTACTTCTTCTTTTTCTTCTTATCATCCTCCTCGACAACTTCCTCCGGTTCCGGCAGTTGTTCCTCAGTCTCCTGCATAACATACTCCTCTGTGTGGATACCATCCTGGTCTACAACCTGGACGGTTTCAATGACGCCGTCTTCGGTGATCTGCTCGCGTTTGATGTCGTTGAACTTGAGGAACTGCGTGAGGCCTTGCGCCTGGATGCGCTGCAGGTACTCCTGCACGCTGGTGGTGGTTTGGATGTAGTTGGCGGGTATTGTCGTCACAGTGGTGCCCTCGATGGTATCCGGCTCTTCTTTCTCCTCCGTCTTAATAATACTAACCGGCGTCATTTGAATATCTTTCTTTGAATCCTCCGTGGAGGCAATGCCTTGCTGCTGCAGCATTTGGATGTCGGCGGGTTGCAATGCAGCGATCACGGTCATGCCGTCGGGAATGTTTTGTCCGTCAACCTAAAACCACACAATTAATCTCCTATCCTGTCACTGGCAAGCGCGCAACACACCTCAAACTTCACTAACTAGATGACAGAATACTAGTAGTCTCTCAGTGCTACAGGCATTAATGAATTCTCAGCAAAATCACAGCCCATCTTGAAACTTCTTTACTTGATACATGCATGAAAAATTACCAGAAAGAGCTACTATTTACTCGTAGTAGATTTGATTAACTTCAGGCATAATTATGATCAGTTAGTTTCATAGTAAATAAAAGTGTTAAAAGTGAAAATTCGAAGCACTTACAATTTGTATACCCTCCTGATTCGAGTTGTAGGCAACCGTTAAAACAGTGGCGCCCTGGCCGAAGGTTTGAATAGGTATCTGCGATATTTGGTACTTGGGCGATGATGAGCTGGTGACCGGCGCCGTCATCGTCGTTATCGGCGGCACCGGATTAACCACCTGGATCTGCACGGTCTGCTGTGGATCGCCGGGCTTGGCGCCCGGCATTGTAATGGGTAGCGTGATGACGGTTTGCGTCGGCTGCTGCTGTTGCTGAGCCGGCGCGAACGACGCCGCATCCAGCGGTCGAATATAGTGGACGCCATTCTCGCCGCCTTGTAGCACACCAACCACTTGTCCATTGGCGGTGGTGACGTTCTGCGTCAGCTTGCCGGAGAATTGCGTCGCCACCGGCACCGCCGAGATCGGCACACCCACCCCAAACGGCGTGAAATTCATATCGGTTTCGCTTATCTGCAATCACGCACAATAAATTAACATTTCAGCCGCAAGGAGAACACATGGCGTAAATTAAATGCAATAAATAATCCAGAATGCAGTACGTATGTAGTACCTGGTTATGCATTAAAATCACTAACGAATCACAGCTGATGGCGGCGCCGAGGGCGCGAACGGCACACGGCCACCTTTTTTGACACTCGCGTCCTTGGGGATACCCCCGAAAATCACGCAGAGGGGATGAAAAGCGCGTGAAGAGTGGAAGAACGCGCGTCGCGAGCGTACATGCCACGGAGTGGTATTGAGCGAGGTAGTGTGGCGCAAGAAGGTAGGTAGCGATTGGAAAGTGGGGCCCCTGATGGTACGCCGCACACCACGTGACCTCCAAACCAGCCGACCGTTGCGGCCATCTACCTGCTCGCTTCCACCGAAGAACGCATACCGCCAGCGGAAGCGAGAGGTGCACAAAGCGCCGCGCGAAGAGAAATCTAACTGTACCGGTGGACGCAGGCGCTGGCAGCGCGATTTGAAGAGAAATCCACGCGAGTAGAAGGACCCATTTACCTACTTTAACCTACTTTCACCTCGCTCGAACGAATCATTTTTACATCTAGCGCGTTAGCAACCTCGAGGATACAGGCCGCGTACGTTCACCGCACATGCATGCACTCGCCGGGAATTGAACCAAGCAGATGTACGTGCATACAAAGATCGGAAAACGAAAGTTTTCGGCGTCGTTTCAGCGGCGCACTTGTTGAATTTTGAATTTGCAGCTCATGGTGCGCAACCGTATACAGTTAGATTGTTATGCAGGGAAGAGAACCACAAACAGGTTCTTTGTTCACGGACGGCATTACCCAATTACCGTTATGATCGACTGCCGCGGCCAGCGCACACCATTTTGTCGGTCGCTGTGTGCCCGAAACAAAACAGAAAGAGAAACAATACCACGGGGGCAATAAACCGACAAATCAAACGACTCGAAAAAACCCTACCGGCCTCAATCACAATTGTCGCTCGAAATGTTTATATACCATGGGTACTCCGTCCGCATCTCTTCTAGCGTGTTTCTAGTCGCTGCTCGACGCGTGCAAGAGTTGCAAGAGCGCGCGAGCGTGGAGGAAGGGTGAATAAACTCTTGCGTACCCGGCGCACGGCGGTTCATCGTGCCCGTACCCACCAAGCAGTCACCAGCAGCGCAATAACGAGAGGCTTGGAAACACGCGGCGCGCACCGAAACGCAGCTGTCCCTCTGTCACGACCATTCAAGCGGGGATACCGACGCATTTAACCGCGCGACGTATCAGAGATGGTTCTACTAGATCCTTCTGGGAATTATAATGCGCGCAATTTGAAAATTTGTAAGCTGATCACGGCCCCCGCAGCGGTTATCAACGTTTTATCGCCGTTTGTATACTGGTTGGAAGTACACAGTGGTATTCCATTGTTGAACCGCACAATTGATAAGCTATTTCCCATGAAATTAGAATTTCATATCGCGCGTAAATATATGTCGTGTCGATATGGTGGAATAATTGCCGAGTTGAAATGCGGCCCTGATTAATCGCTTTCAACGCACACAGGTAATGTTCGCTCGGCGCGTTCGTTCTCCATTGATGCCGACGGAGCGACGGATGGGATGGGAATATAATGCGTAATAACGTACGGCGTTGTATGCAATGTATGCGCAAGTAATAATGCGTTTTTTTTTTTGTCGGAATCGTTGTTCGCGTTGTGCCAGCAGGCGGCGTGCCATGATGTAGCTGATGATGTGGCAAGCAATCAGCGAAGATGGAACAACGGACGAATGCACTAGATCGGTAGCGGTAGCGCGGATGCATGCATGAGTTGGCGACGGCGATTAAATAAAGCCGTGCGGTTAAAACAGACCGCGGCGCCATTGTGCAGGCGGCGGCCGCGGGCGTTTCGCGAGGAGTTGCTCGCGCTCACGTCCCGCACGCCCGACCTTGGGGCGAAACGAGAGCGCGCATCGCTCTCTACCTAGTGGACGGCCGTGGGCGCGACGCGCACCGCCACCGACGGTGACGTCGTGCCCGGTACGTGGTGGAAGGGAAGCGGTGGTCGTGGTGGTGGTTTTTAGGAAGATTGTGGGGATGAATATATCCTACCAGCGTACGCGCGACGAACACCCCTTCCACAATTTCGTCGGCACCAGAGCGACGAAGCTCCCTACCCCAAAACACCCGCGAGCCGCGAAAAGATACGAGAAAACCGTCTGGATCGGACGCGCCGCGCCGCGGCCCTTATCACCTGCGGCACGCGCGCGTTTCTTTGCCACACTCACCTGCTGCGGCGGCGGCGGCGGACGCTGCTCCGTGTGGGTCACGACACTGCTGCACACGCCTCACTGTTGTGAACGATAATGTCGCTGGCGGACGCACAATTGCTTGGGACGCGCACAACGCCAGCGAATGCCTGGATGGTATTCGTTGCCCAAGGTCCGCGCGCTAGGGACTTTCGTGCCGCGCATCGCAGTTGGTTATCCAGCGAGCGCGCGAAATTCGAAACTCGACTCGGTTTTCCATCACGAAACCGACTTCTGTCATTTTCCACGAGATAACTTTACCAATACGCGATAACACGCGCTCAATCACGCTTCCCACAACTGTTTATCGCAAACAATTCTTGCCTATCTTTTGTTTTATAAACAGGCACTGACTCATTTTAAAATCACACTTTTATTTGTCATGCATATAGTTGTGGTGTCATACCAAGTCAATTAGCACTCAGTTAGCGAAAATATTTCTAAATATGCATACATACATCAAATAATCTTGGTAGATCATCAGGTACATCATTTTACACACCAAGTTCAAAAGTTAAATAAGTTCCTCTTGTGATTGTTCATTATTACTTAAAACCCAACTGTAAAATCAATGATTATAAAATTCACTTGCAAAATAAACTCGATAAATATTCACTAGAGTCCAGGCAACTGTTATTGGTTGCTGCGCTCCTGCCTTGCAACATACATCTCATAGAGCAACTTGTTATTATTATAATAATATGGATTCTGACTCTCATTCAGTTCAGGATTGTAGGGAGCTGCGCTCAGCTGATTCCACTCAACACTATGAACAGACAGTGGTGGTGAGTCCGGACAATTCACACCTAATCCCCAGGACTCCGGTGCGGTTTTTTGATGCTCCAAGAGCAGATTTGAGTTGATGTGAAGGTTGTTGATTCGTTTTGACAATGGCATGAATTCAGTCTCATCTTCTAGGCTGTGACGGCCGCGTTTTCTATGAAAATTCATTGTAATTTCATTTACAGAATGAATAAATTTATGATACAGTACCTGTTTGGTGTCATTGTTAATATTTGTGATGATTTTGTCCTCTTAGAACATTTTCTTTAAATGTAGAATGTGTTTACAATTGTTTACAATCGCACACGAGGTTGGTAAACTTGTCGAGACAGATCTTCAGCTTACAGCTGATTAAAACCAGAGATTCGTTTCGACAGGGTGTATTTGATAACACGATGTGATGATTTTCTAGATGACTCGGCCCTAAATAAACCTCTTGCATGGACAAAGCACCCGATGTGCCTGTCGTGCACGTACAACTTTGTAAAGAAGTAGAGAATCGTGCGGAGGATTTGCTGTAAGTCGTAGCAATACAGAAATTTGATTTGGTGACAGCTGCTTGCTGCATACAAAAGCAATTGTTGAAAGTATTGCTTGTAGATGGCGCGACGTACACGACATTCGACTAAAAATATGGCACAGACATTTTTAAAAACGCAATACAATTGTAAAAATATACGTATTATCATTGTTATTAGCTAATATAAAGCACAAGAAGGAATTATTTTCAATAACGTAAGTTATCTTTTCAATAATGTCTAAAAAATAACCCTAAAACTTGTATTTTAGTTATGTTTCCATTACAAAATACGATGTTTGACTGCCCATAAAAATATAAGAGTTACGTGTGGATACAAAATATTAAAAAGGAAAGGGAAAAGAAATAAACACTGGAACTTCACCAATAGCAATAACATTGGCGATTAAGACTTGACCAATCACACATCGTGCATAAAACAATTCCTATCCGAAATATTGCTAACTTTGGCTGATCGATTTGTTTTTGTCATTCAATACCAACACGTGTTGTTATTATTTTGCTAAAACTGCAGAAAACTACAACATACGTATCAAACAACTTAATTCTAAACATAAGTTGCGATTGCCCGCAAATTATTCCATTCGGTGCACTTGAAAACGTGCACATAAATATTAAATCATAATAATTACATTTCGAAGAGTAAATATTAACAAAAATCGGAGTGATATATGAGTAACATGTGTGGCAAGATGAGTAATTAGGCTAAATATGTACTTTTTGAGTTCTTGAAAAGTTTCCCGAGTGGTTTTAACGACTTGAAGAAAACCGCATGCAATGATGTTACAAATTTCATGAAATAAATCTTGTTGCAGATGATTCAAGAAGAATTTCTGCGTGATGGAGAAGGAAAAGAAGAAAATTTCGACAAAAAATTGTGTTATAAGCACAGTTGTTTAAAAACAAAGATGACAATCACATTTGTCTATGTATTGTGTTCTTTTAGTAAACAAATATCAACTTTGACATTGCAGATTCATCAACTTACGTCAATTCCAGCAATATCAATCAATATAAACACGAAATAAATTTATAAACAAAATGCAATAAACATAAAACAAATTAATCATCAATCTGTGCAACAATAATACGTAAATTACGTAAATTATTGAATTTTATGTTTGTTTGTATGTTTTTGCAAAAATGCGAAAGTTTTTCGACTGCAACTGCAAAAAACAGTTTTTCTATGCAAGTGTGACGCGTTTTTAATATCAAAATTCATCAATATACTACAGTCAACTCTCTCAATATCCATACCAAAAAGTCAATATTTACAAAATATACTTAATGTAAAACACATTAATCATATATTTAAGAACCATCAAGATGGAAAATCTGTATAAATAGATTTTTTTAGTATTTATACACACAGCATACTAAAAAATTCAAATTTGACCGCTTGATCTATTTAAACCACCAGGACCGAATTACGAATAAGCCTAAGAGAAGAGAGGAGACCCAAGAGACCTGCGACTGGACTGCTGGAGGACTCTGGCACGACTGAGCACCGTAGTTGGGTTGTAAACGAAAAAAAACACAAAATAAAGCACCGTAGTCACTGCGCGCTGCCCTTTTATACCTGCGGGTGACCCGCAAAAAGTGGTGGGGGTAAGTCGCTGCTATGTGATTAGTCGCAACAAGAAGCAAAAGAAGGGGAAAGGGTATACTCAGCTTTCCTGCTCTTATGCCGTAAATTTGATGAGTCACAGCGTCTTAATAACGAATAAGTTTTACCCTAAATCAAATTAATTTACAATTTCATTATATTATATTATTTCTAAAGAATTCGATTCCAAAGAAGTTTTCACATAAAAAATTCAAATTTCCACTAATTAATTATTTATTTCATTCATTCCACGATGATATTTTCAGTGAAACTAGTCCAGACTGAATAATAAATACTAATTATGGCCCCGAACGCAAAGAAAACGAAGAAAATTACCTGACGCACGCTCGCCAAGCATAAATAATAACAGCCAAAGCAGTATGATTACAAATTTACAAATTACTAATCCAAGCAATGCATCGGCACGCGCTTTAAATAACTAAGCACACAGTAAATGCATGTTTTTTTCTGTTTCCTACAATAAAGTCGACTGTTTGTACTTTTGCGATCAAATAATAAGCAACTCGGGTTGCAAGCGCAGTGCTTCAGGGTTTATTAAATATTTGCGCGCCTGACATGCCACACGCTGCACTCAAATGTGAAATTAAATTACCAACCAAAGTAAGAGGTGCGTCGTAGACGTAGACGCAGACTGCGGGAAAACGCAGTTTTCCTTGGGCGCCGAAAAACTGCACGCAAGAAAACATTAGAATATTAGCATTGCGTCGTCATATTTGCTCGCCGTTGTTGCCGGGGAGGTGATAAATTATATCAAACATAAACATAACATTGTGCATTACATACACCACGGAATATATTCACAAATCTCGAAATTTTTCGTATTTTCAAGTCGTTGAAGCGCATCGATCAGTTTCATAACTGTATTTCATCAGTTTGTTGTTGTTGCTACTTGCGGCTAACAAATGACCGAAATATAACATCACGTCATGTTCTATCTAATCCGAAAATTGATTAAAAACAACAATGACAAGTGTGGGTCAAAAGTACTTCGTGTGTGTGGATGCATTGCACTTCATCACACAACCTGAGCGGCGAGGTCAATGTTAAGGCGGTAAAGCGAGCCGCCACCGCATGATAGATGATATTGTTATGATTGTTTTGACAGGGGGCGATAAACGCCCGCTAGTAATCGGCGAATTGTAGCGTGATATTGCCTCATCGCGCTGGAGCCCGGTAATTGATACGTTCGACGTCACTTCAGTGGCGCAAACGCCGAGATGACGCAAGGTGGATGTGGCTGATTTTGTTCATTTAATCAGCGCTGGAATTATGCACTCGTGTAGTAAATCGCGCGTAAACGCTTTCGATTTTGTTTGGGGGCTTCAAACGGTGGCAATTGTGTGCAAGACATAAACAAAAACAATTGATACAGTAAACAAAACATCAAAAGAGTCGAAAATGTTTTAAAATTTTTAAATTTTTACAAAAAAATATGTTTTTGTTCATAAAATTAATAGAAAAAACCGAATGAAAACTTTTTTCGGCTGAAATTGCTGCAATTTTTATCAGAATCTGTATTTTTTACATTTTCAGTGAATTTTTCCGAATGTAGATCTTGATTTTAACAAAAATTCGTTGCAAATTATTTGTTTTTTCGTACATTTACTGAAAAATGTATTTATTTGTCCCAAAAAAACTTTAAAAACTCAAAATTATAACAAAATTTGATTTAATTTTCTTAAAAATGTATATTTTTAACCGACATCAATATTTTGCAATTAAATTCGATAATCAAACTACGATTAATGTAATATTTAGCAAATTGTAAATATTTTGGAAAATTTAAGTAAATGAGTCTTTGATTTTAACAATAACCCAAGTAAAATGAATGTAAAAATTGGTTTAATAAAAATTTCCGACTGATTTACAAGTGTAACTTAAATATTTCCTAAAAAAAGATTAAGTTTTCCCAAAAATCCTTCAAAAACCCTAAATTATATTAAAATTTAATTTACTTTCCCCAAAAATGTTAAAAAATTAAAATTTCTTCTTATTCAACTTGTGTATTATGATAATAAATAAACCTAAAAAAATTTGAATCAATTCTGATCAGTAGTTTCGGAGTTATCAGCAAAAGATGCTGTGAGTAAATTGCAATTTCTCAAATCAGCGATTTAAGCAATCTAATTCACTCAGCTTATGTAGCAAAATCTGTTAAGATCTCAGTCAATATTTACACTCAAATATTTGTCCTACTCTTATCAGAAAAAGTTTGAAAAGAATTTTGTATGCGCTTGTCGTCAGTCACAGTATTCTATACGTGAGTTGCAAGTAATATCGTAATTCAATCTGCTTCAGATATTTTTTTTAATTGTGTTGCATTTTATTAACATTCTTCAATAATGCAAGGTAAGTAATTAAATTTTCTAGTAAATTTGACCCAGGAGTAGAAGTTTCAATAAAATCTACGATAGTTAATGTTAGTTTTTCCCGGAAAATTGCATTTTTTTTGCATTTCTTAAGCAAAAAATAATCAAATTAATCAATTTCAATATGCGGTGTTTCAACTCTTTAAAAATGCCACTAAAGTATAACAAATGAACTAAAATTAATTATTTAAGTTATAAAAAGGAGATAATTAACTATATTAATGATTAGTGAATTTAAAAGCAACAAAATAGCTTCTAGTAAGTTAAAAATCGTCTGCTGAATGAAAGCAACTTCAATTTTTGCCTTTTTTCCACTCTCCAGTAAAATTGCGCTTCTTTCCCTTCGCGATATCTTAATAAAAACTAAGACGTAGAAATATCAGTCCTAAATTTGTAACTACTAAACTTGACATGATTATTTAATGCGTGTGTTACGCATGTAGAAGAACTCTGATTACCATGCGACTTCTGGTTGATTGTTTGTTTGTCGGGTGCGAAATTGAATCGAATCAAAGCGCGGCGCGGTGAAACGCGAGCCGCGACGCGTGTAATTACGCGCGATGCGGCATTATCATTACCAAGCCAAAAAACACACCACGCGCCGCGCGCGACTGCGATTGGTTGGCGGACAGGGGGATAGACCGACGACGTCGCGTATAAAAGCCCATCGCGATGCGTCTCGCCGCTAATCTAGTTCGCAAACGCGAAGTTTTAAAAAACTACAATAGTTTGCAAGTCTGCGATTAGAAAACTACGCGAAAATCACAAGAAAAACTTTTCAAATTTCAAGCCAAACCGTTCAAAAACATGCCGTACGAGTTCATCACCGGTTACACCAACGGTTTCGACGATGTGCACTTCGTGGACCTGCGAAGTGACACCATCTCCAAGCCAACACAAGCAATGCGCGATTCCATGTACACCGCACAGGTGGGCGACTCCGTCTACGGTGAAGATCCCAGCGTCAACGAGTTGGAGCGCCGCTCCGCCGAGCTGGTTGGCAAAGAGGACGCCGTCTTCGTACCATCGGGTACCATGGCCAACCTGCTTGCCAGTGAGTAGTCTTTTCTTTATATGGACCCAGACAGCCTCGGTTAAGGAGAGATATTGCGCTTCTTTGAATCCTTTGAATCTAGATCAACGCGCAGTTCAATGAACCAGATGCGATGCGTTAATGAGTTTTAAAAGCGTTTTGGCAGCGAATTAACGCGCGAAATTAAGTAACACGCGTGTGATATACGTATATAATTAAAATTTTGGCAAAGTTTCGCAATAAATCGCACGCGAAACGCATCAAAACTACGTCAAAGTGTAGAGGATCAGCAAAAATAACCGAAACACGCGATGTGCTCAAATGTCACAACAAAAGATTCGTTTTTCACCAATTTCATAATACATGGACGCAAGTTTCAAGTTTGCGCGTGTTTGCAGCTGGCGCGACCCGAACATCCTTGAAGAGTTACCAAAATGTGTGCATATTACACTGCAAATGATGCTGCGATCTATCACCTGATGTCGACGCTCGTATTTTGGCACCAAATCAATTTATGATTAGTATTTTCATCTAAAATAAACAGAAAAATATGAGTTTTTCGTTAAGAATCATGTTATGTCAACAAATATTGACTGGTTTTCTAAAAACTTAATTTTTCCAGTTATGGTGCACTGCCAGAAGCGTGGCAGTGAAATAATTTGCGGAAATCGCGGCCACACATTCCGATTTGAGCAAGGTACGCATAAATATTGACAATAAACAAATCACAAAACTATTCACAACAAACATGGTGTTTGTCGCTATAGGAGGCCCGTCATTCATCGCAGGAGTCTCACAAAACTGCCTGACAAACCTGGATGATGGCACCTTCGATCTAAAAGAGATGCAGGAGCGTATTCGGTCGATCGGCGACATCCATGAGCCGATTACGTCGCTCATCATCATCGAAAACACGCACAACATGTGCGGCGGGCGGGTAATAACAATCAACATTGATTCATTGGCTTTTGACGGTGGCGGACCGCGGTAATAGAGCACATCCTCTAATCAACCGTGTCTCTGGTGATTGTAGGTACTGCCCTTGGAATGGATCGACGAACTGGCGACGATCGCCAAGCGTCACAACCTGCCTGTGCACATGGACGGCGCACGATTGATGAACGCCGCCGTCGCCAGCAAGACGCCACCGGCACGTATCTGCCGTGATGTTGATTCTGTGTGCTTTTGTTTGAGCAAGGGTCTTGCCGCCCCCGTGGGGTCAGTCCTCGCTGGCAGTCAACAATTCTGCACGCTGTGAGTATATATTAATAATTAATAATAAAAAGTAGCACATTAGATTAGATTAGATGTGAATTTCGGTTAGTTGCCAATTGAGTAATGTGACTGATAACAATACAACAGATCGGCATCTTTTATCATCAGCGATTTGACATTTTGACCGTGTGATAAGCACGGGTCAATGCATATCAACACATTAATTATAATTATTAACAAATTATTGCATGTTTCAGCGCGCGGCGTTATCGCAAAGCACTTGGGGGTGGAATGCGTCAGTGTGGCTTCCTGGCAGCTGCTGGGATTGTTGCAATTCAGAATTTGGAACGTCTTCAGCTTGACCACGATAAAACTATGCGCATTGCCAAAGGTAAACATATAAAAAACCTAAAATTTTCAATGAAAACCATAACTTATGTTCACAGCTATTAATAATATGAATTCGGACTTGGTGCGAGTCGACCTCAAGTCAGTACAGACCAATATTCTGATGGTGCACGTCGATGAAAGACGCGTCAACGCGCAAGAGTTCCTCCAGCGTCTCGCGGACGTCAAGGAAACAGACACGTATCGCGTGAGCATCAAAGCAGCAAGTCGTGACGCGGGCTGCTGCCGTTTCGTCATGTACTGGGAGATCACCGACGAAGACGTTGAAATGGTCATTCGTAAACTAGAGCTGACTATTCTTGAGTTCCACGCGCGCAGCAAGCTCGTCCAGATCATCGACCAGCAGTGATTGTCTACAATCACGTCGGTTTCTAAAGTATTACAAGTTATTTTTTAATGTTATGTACTATTTACAATTAACGCGAATTTATTATATATTTTGTTGATTCCTTTGAGAATAATGATGTTGCGGACGATGTGCTTTGAGATGCTATTGTATTATAACTTTAAATATAAAACAAAACAAAAATATTGCTTGTTTTTGTAAATATTTCGCGCGTGTTGAGTGAATCACTAGAATAAAATATATATTGATAAATATATCGACAAGTATATGTAAAACACGCAAACTTCCGGTGTGTTTGCACCAACAGGGAACAACAGGTAGGAGAACAGGATGCCTAATACGCAGCCGGATCCATTTCTCGATTTATTGATTAATCTTCTTCACTCGAGTAGTAGATATAATAGACCTACAATAAAAAAACGAATCAATGTAGCGACAGTGTGGCGTTTAGCGCTTAACCGTATTGTTATAGGGATAAAGCGTCTGGAAGGCGGACGCATCGCCCACCTCGTCCTCGGATTCCGTCTCTCCGTCCGACTCGAAAGTATTATCCGGAATGTCGTACAAGCGAATCATCGGCTTGTTGGGATCCTTCATGATCAAGTATTTCCCGTCCTTTTGCTTCATGACAATATCAACAATACAACGCAGGATACCCCAGGCATTGTCCATATTCAGCGTGATCTGCGTCGCGAATTCATGCGGCTTGTACTGCTGCGTGCCTAAAATGACATGCTTGCTGTTGTCGCGCACGTGCGATCGCGATACATATCCGAACTTGATCTGGTCGCTGCCGGCAAGCAGTGCCTGAATGGTCCACTTGGCCAACTTGCACGCGTTGTTGCGCAGTTCGTTTGCAAGCACAGCACCACGCTGCGAGTCGAGCTTCTGACGCCACTCGACGCCGTTCGCCAGCTTCGAGTCCCATTCGTTGAGCGCCTTGATGGTGAGATACTGCAGCTCACCGTTGGGGGATTGCACGACGGCGTCGTGCTCACAGCGAGCTACGAGGACGATGCCGTTGCCAAGATCCCACTTGCGGTAGCGATACGCCACGCTGGCGACTTCACCTTCTTCGTCTTCGGTCTTGAAGGGGTTCGGTTGGTCGAACTTGTAGCGCGGCTCCTTCTCGCCACTGCGGAGTACCTGTTGAGAGAAGTTATGGTTGATAAAAGTGGCTTCCAGGGCCAAGTTGCGTGGGGAGTTCAGAGAGTTGCCGTCGTCTTGCGGGGGCTCCACGGATGTCTCGTTCACGGTCAGAAGATCAAACTCGGTGTTGTCACGTTTATCCAAGAACAGTTTATCACCTGGTTACACAAATTCCAGTTAAAATCATAAAAAAAAACAAGTATTTTAACATTAAAATGAATAAATGGGACTCAAATAGAGATGTGAAAGTAGTTTTTATGCATGCATTGACAATATTTTGACGATTTGACTAAAAAACATTCACTTATTGACTTTTATATGACTTATTTTCTTATATTACAAACAAAATCAGTTCAATGGAGTCCCAAAAAGGTTAAAAATGTTAATAAAAACGACAACATACCAATCTTTTCAATGACAATATCCCAAGAGTAGTTGGAACGCGTGCAACACATAATTGTTGCCAGAATAGCGTCCGTTGCGTAAACATTGCCTTCACTTTTCGACAGTTTACGGATGATAGGATCATCAGTAGTAGTAACCTAAGTTTAAAATACAAACAATTAATGAAATCTTTGCTTACATATCTTTGCATTAAGCACACAAGCAGATCTAAACTTACTGTATGGAAAATCCTGTTTACACTCTGCAATGATTTCTCATTCTTGACGTTGACGCGATCGTACGTCTTGTCATAATACTCAAGTTCACCACAATTGACAATATCCTCGCCATCCTTGATGTTAGGCAGCGACAACTTGCCGAGCCGCGGAAAGTCCATTTCCTCGATGGTAACCCAATCGGGTTTCACCGTCACGGAGGCATCGCGGATCTTAATCTGCGGTCGACCCTGGCCCCACTTCTTATTCATCCCTTTGCGATCTTTGTCGCGATTCTTCACGCCCTTGCCCAGCTGTTGCATGACGTGGCTGGAGTTGCTACCACCACGACCGCCACGGCCACGCATGTTCTTCTGGTTCTGGCGGAAACGTCCGCGTTGGTACGGCGGCTTCTGCACGCGGGTCGTGTCCACCAGATGGAAGGTACTTTCATCTTCATCATGGTAATATGCATAGTGGCTGCCGGAGCCGAATTGCGATGCATATTTACCTGGTTATGCACAAGTAATCAGTTAATATATGTGTTGAAAGAGTAGTAGAAGTAAATACTTACTAGCATACTTCTTATCCTGGAAGGCGGCGCCGGTCCAGTCGCTGATTTTGCCTAGGCGATCGCCCTTGCTGAATGGCTGGTACGGCATGTCACGAAACTGGTCGGGCATCTCGCATGGGCCCCATCCCATCGGATTGTCTTGGATGATCGGTGCGGTGAAGCTCGGAGGCTTCACAGCGGTCGTGCCGTTTTCGGCGAGCGTCATATTCAGAACAGAATCGTCTGAAAATATGAAAACACAAGCAACGCGTCTTGCTCTGCCGGAGAACACGCAGCAAGTAACAAGCGGAAATTACCCTCCATCTTTGCGCAGAAATCCACTCCGTAGCGTAATGTTGCGTCAATGCACTGGATTCAAAAACTGTGACTCGCTGATTTCGTTTTATGTGTAAAAAACGATAAAATTTAGAAAATATAGTTCGCACAAGACGTGATGCTTGTAGAAGGTAGTAAAAACTGAAAACAATTATCTGTCAAACAAATAATTTACCTATTTGATCATTATTTCTTTACGGTGTATGTTGGGTTGCCTATCGTGTACCACCGTCAGCAACACAGGTCAGTGACCGGCACGCGTAACTTTTGAAAAACTAACGCATATCGTGTTCAATGCCGGTGCGGAGTGGTTTAAATGGTAAGAATTCAACATTGTTTAAATTGTTAAAGTTGATAAAAAACGGTTAGAAAAGCGCTGTAAGTTTGATTAACAGACAGGCGTAGTTTATGATAGTCCGCAAAGTTAGCCGCCCATGTGTTACGCGTTATAATTTCGGGTGGAAATACGAGTGCCCCCAAATCACCAAACACGCCCGTACCCTCTTTGATAGTTTTATAGTTATGTGCCGACGAACGGGTTTATTGAGTATTTTATGTCGTCAGCAGAATGCCAGCTTCCGGTATAGCGTAAATCATACATAACAACGCCGCCGCCTCCGGGCAGCAAACGGCCGAAAACCGAAAGGAAACGTCGAACATGTGCGTGGTAGGTTCGCGCGCGCGGCATACACGCTCGGTGACACTTTTACGGCGTGCCGTTTTGTTCGGCCAATTGATGTCCAACCCTTAACTTTACAACATTCATTCTCGCCGAAGAAAAAACACTCTACGTACGGACATCGCGACATCAAAACAAAACACGAACGCTCACTCTAATTGAATTGGAATTAAAAAACGCAAAATTTCAAATTTTATAGGTTAGAGTGTTGCGGAAGTAAAGGGTCACTAGTCAAGAATGGCGGCGGAAGCGCATGGCGGATAGCGGTCGTTAACTGGCTGTAATTTTCAATTTCGCACAAACTAACCACTTTCCATGCTAATTGCCATCAAGCGAAGGGCGAGCGCGCCCGGAAAAGGTGCAACTTCGCTAAGTTGCTTATTGTTCTTACGCTTTCTTTGCGTAATGTGCTTTCTTGCGCGCCGCGGCGGCCGGCCGAAAAGTTTCATTGCTTTTTGCGCATTCGCCCGTGTAAAAGTTGTAGTGAATTTTAATTATCATCCGACGCTGTGGGGTGATATCTTCGAGGGTGTCAGTTTCGCGCCGCTACGAAATCACAAAGTTTCAAAGTTCGCCGCCAGCGCCCGATTCAAAACAACTATGAATTATTTATCTGTTTTCTTCCTGCGTCAATGTGCTTTGTTGTGCATTTTCTTCTTCTTATTTTTTTCTTTCTTTGCCGTTCATGAACGCTGCGAGCAAAATAGGGGTGTGTTTTATAGTCGGCTGGTCGACGACATTGATGCCTTCAATTATAGCCGGTGGGACAGTCGCACGTGTGTCAGCTGTTTTATTATTTTACGACAAGATTGATTCACGACGCGTTTTCGAAAATTATCCACCCCCTCAAGTCGCGCTGGCGGATTTTTTGGCGGCGCGTTACATGCGCGACAATAAATAAACTATAAATCCCGAGCAGCGTCATAAAGCGCGCGGAGAATATGAGCCCCAGGAATCGCGGGAATCGAAGGAAAAGTAAAATAAATCTCGCGCGTTTGAAATAAGGAATTGATCACTCAAGTGTCACCGGCGGCACGAAAGCGCGAGCGAAGCGTTTCCGGCGCGTCGCAATCGCGCACATTTTAATGCTTTTATTTTCCCACCCTCGGCACGCAACGAGACGAGACTATTCCGCCGTCTTCCGTTCGATAATAAAACTGCCATTCGATATCGCATTTTTCATCCCGGGCGCTCATCCCAGCCACTCTGCAAATCCCATTTGTCACAAGCGCGCGATCTTAATTAACCCGCCTTTTGTAAAATATTAATATTCGCGTGCGCGAGCGAAAATAAATGAAACACAACACGCGTCCGAAGCGAAGGGGAAAAAAGAAAGGACGCTGGTTCGGGTGATTCGGCGATCTGGGCGCAACGTAACGAATTGTGCGAGTTGTGACGTCGTAAAAAGCGGCGTAAACCTTCGTGACAAGAAAGCGCCATAAATGCGAAATCTTAACTATAGATAAGAATTCGGCGCTGCGCGGCGCTCCGGCGTGCGATGCGTTTGTTTTAGGAGCATCGGGGACGGTCCTGAAGTGCTGCAGACACTGTCACATTGTCGGCGGGAAGACAATGAGGTTCTTCCTCTTGCGACGGCTGTAAAAATCCCCGGCGAGCCGCGTCTGCCTTGCGAGCGCTTTTTTTACAAGTCTATCGAGAGGGCGAAAATGTTGCTGCGACTGAGTGCTTCGGTTTTAATCAAACCCGCGCGAAAATGCGCAAAATTATAGCGTTGGTCAAGAATGCCAAACACTTACCCCCGAACAAAAAAACGAAAAATTTCATTATTCATTCAAGTTATCAGCTTGTAATTTTCAATTTAGTAATCTCAAGTATTACTCCACTCAAAAATCCACAAAAAGAGTAGAAAATCGCGCGTCAAAATTACCAATTACGAGTTTGAACCCCCGGGGGCATAATTGCGAATCATAATTCACAACTAAGTAATGCGTAATTGAATCACTCGCGAGCGTGGCAGCGACGGAGGCGGCCGCTACAAGTAATAATTGATTAACTGGCTAATAGAGTTTTGGATTTTATTGGCGATCTGCCGTCCTCGGATATAAAACGATCGTAAAGCGTCTAATAAAAGTGAGGTCGCGGGATATGCACGTACCTACCGCGCGCGCATTTCCATTCGCAGCGGCGGCGGCGGCGGCTTTTCGGCGGCACCGCACCATATATTACATGTGTACGCGGCATCCATCTATGCGCGCCCCCAACACCCTATCTATCTGTCGATCTATCTAATCAACATTGCAGCGGGCCGCGGTCGCCGCCGCCGCTTGCCCGGATGACAAATAGTGTTTCGGCGTTGTGGACATGGAGCTGCGCTTGCGTTTTGCAAATAAAATTCACAAACGCATAGAAAGGAAAAGTAATCAATGTGTGTTTGGGCAAGAATTGTTTCGGTTTTTTATTATTTTTGACGTCGACACACTTAAAATTTAAAATAAAGCTGTGTTAGATATTTTCGGCTACAAGTGCAAACTGATAAATTTTACAAGCACACATAAAGTAAGAACCAGCAAATCACCATCAACCAGAAATAAAAGAAAAACCAAAAACCAACAAAAAGTTAATCATAAAAACAAAGCAAAATAAACAATGAAAAAAATCAAAGCAACTTGTATACTTACACTTAATTAACATTTTTTTTACCTCAAAAATGACTTTAGTTAATTATTTATTTCATTCTTAAAGTATAACAAGTCATATTTATCTCCTTAGTTTAGTTTAATTTGGTTAAAGTATATTTATGTATGTACAAAATTCAACAATCTGAACAAATCCACTTGGCTAAATTTTCGTGGATGTAAAAATTAAATAAATACCCGTTGGCTATTGATAAAAATGACAACATTGGACACAAATCTAAAAGACGGTTAATCGTGTTAGTACGACTTAAAAATTGACGGTCTTAAGGACACATTTAACACCATTGGACGTGAAAATCGCGCTTGCGATTCAAATTATGGCATATTTTCCTTTTCATTTTGGTAACAATAGAATAACAACCATTAAGTATCAAAAATACCTTCGTTCACACATCGCATCATTGGTTTTTGTGATGTTTTTTTACAGTATAATTATCTCTTGCGCATCAGCTGAGGTACTTTTTAAATAGTAATTTTAAGTGTTGTAAAAGTGGTGAAATACTGGTTCAAACTTGTCGCATGCGGGCTACTAACGAATGCAACAGGAAGCAGAAAATGCCTGGAACACAAATTACACATTACGTATACATTTTGTTCGAGAATTAATTAAAATAGCGTCATTATGAGGTACCTTCAAGTTTACAAATGTTTAAAGTTTGATCAAAATCAATTTTTGCTTCTCCACGTCTTAATTCTAATTTGGTATGAAAAATATGAGTATTTAGAAGGTGGTACCCTAGGGTACCTTCAATGGGTACCCTGTTATTTTCTTAAAATTTAATATTCCCTATAGCATCCTTGAGCAATTTTTTACCTAGACTCTTCAGGGTGTCATACAGTGGATTGGAGGTGGTAGCCCCACTGTGACCATACCGCTGTTGGTTGTTGTTGGGTGTGTAGTAAGGATTGTTGTTGTAAGGATAGTTAGTGTTGGAGTATCCATTGTGGCCGCTGCTGGGGTACCCAGAGTTGCTGTAGCCTGGATAACCTGGATAGCGATTTTGATTGTTGTTGGTACCAGGATATCCAGAGTATCCACCTGGGTATCCACCGCCAATGGACCCACCCCCGTATCCACCACCGCCATTTCCGGCTTGACCTGGATACCCGGAACCAATGGAACCTCCTTGGTACCCACCACCGCCATTACCATTCGGGCGGTAGATAGGAGCACGGGTAGTGGTCTGACCACGTGGAGGAATCTGAGGGTATAGAGGTGCGCTGGGATGGTGGTCATCATTGTTGTTGTTGTTATTGTGGACATTATGTGGGTCGACATTGGCGTTGGGATTGCCATTTCGTCCACCAAGGGGACCATTATCAGGTATGCACTTGGGGGTGTCACCATCAAGTCGACAATACATGGTTGGAGGACAGACGAAGGTATCGCAGGTTTTAGCTACGTTTGCTCGGCGTTGGCAAGTTGGATACCTAAGAAAAGGAATAAGTGGAATTAAAAGGTTTGTTATAAATTGTTTGGGATTTCTTACATTCCACATTCGTCTCTTCTGCCATACGAGCAGGGATCTTCTGCCATGACACAGGTTTCTGATGGGGGACATCCAATATCCGCACAGGTTCTGCCATATTCTGGTCAAAATAACAACTAATTATTTACAGGTGTAATGTGAGGATGAGTAACATCAATTATAATTGAGAAATTGCATGATGTTCAACACAACAAAAATATTTGTCGATAAAACAGGAAACATAACACGCCGACTTTTCAAGGTCAAATGAAGGACATTCTAAAAGAATGTCTAATATTTTATTAATCCAAAAAATTGCAGTTTTTTTTAAATAATATGTTTTACCAACATATTATTGAAAGTTATAATTATCCAGTCTCGATTAACTGAAAGAAGCAAAAAGTACACAATGAAATTGCCCCATTATTGCATAATAATACATTAAATTAAATGAGAAATTAAAATTAAACGGATTTGCAAAATGCCACGCGATAATAGCACGACAATTAATAAAAATGTTCAACTAAGTCCGTGTGTGTTGATCCTTTAATTAAAAGTATGTGTGTTCAATAACACCGCATTTACTGTTAGTTAAAAACGTGAAAAACACCACACCACAATCAAATTGAATAGCACGATTGATTAAATTCCAATCGCATGGCAATGGCTAAACCGAATTTTATTCCAAAGTGCGCTTTTTTTCGCCCACACACACAAAAATATGGATTTCACTAATTATCGACTGGTGCTGGTGCTGTGATGCAGTCCGAGTCTTTTTATTATGCGAACGCAAACGAAATTTGCCGTTTTGTATACACGCGCAGATTGAACCGCATCGAATCACACCCTGAAAGGTGTCCGCGGCCAGCCACATGAGCGCACCCCACCGCCACCCCCAGCGCAAAACGCAATCGTGCATTGAAATAAATTGAGCATTTCAAATTGAAATTACGACGAATGTTACAATATTCCGAAAGTGCATCTCTATTAAAACACACGGCCTTTTGTGTGCGCAAATATTTGCATACCATGTGATGAAGCAGTCAACCGAATCAATACAAAACAACCCCGCACGGAGAGAAATAAAAAATCCACGCGTAGACACACTTCGACTGCTTTTATTAGTGTCGCCATGTGTTTTGTTTGTTTTCTTTGCACATTAAGGTAGTTGAGTAGTTCCGATGTGCTTGTTTGAACAAATTGTATGTTCTCGCATGCGGGGTGAGGCCCCCGGTTCGAATTGTACTTTGAAATATAAATAAACGTATGCGACGCGTGTAATTAAAAAATTGTACACGCCAAACAGTGCGCAAAATGCAAAAACGAGGGAAAAATTGCGCGCGCGCCAAAAACATCGAGCATAACATCGGGAAATGTTCGTGTGATGTACCTACAGATTGCAAGCGCATATTTTTCGCGCGTAATGAAGAAAAAACACGGCTATCATTACACGAACACGCCAATATCATCAGCGAGCGTCATCATATCGCATGACCTAAGAGAGAACTGTTGCATATCACCGGCATGATTAACACAATGATGCATAGCGGAGTTTTTATTGTTGCAGTTGTTATACTTACTAGAAAATCCATGCGCTGAGTACGTCATCAGCACCAGAACGAGCACAATCACCAATTGCGACGTCATTGTGGCGTCCTATCACCACCAGCAACAATCAATTGTCAATTAGGTATCTGCAATCAAGTAAAAACAAAAACGTTTCAAACTCTCTCCGCGAAAATCGGCGAAAATCGCGCGTTCGCGCCATGTGATTAATTACGCATTGCGCTGTTTAACTGTGGTTTAATTATGTGCGCGCGATGCTGATTGACATTCATCGATGTTTTAATTCCAATTAATTTCTAATGGCCGCCGCATGTGTTGCGCGCCGAATGTTTGCTCCGCGCGCGCGCCTGGTGCTTGGTTTGTTAATTAATTGCACGGCTCGCTCATGAGGAGAAACAATGTTATTGATTCGTGATTTATTGAAAAGTACAAAGTGGGTTCGGATGAAATTATGCGAATAACAAGATGCAACCAGTCGCATGTGTGCATCATGTTTGAAAAACGCACAGTTTATGGTTTAATTGTAATCGTATGCAGTGGCAACAATGTAAACATTCATTTTATGCCAAAATTTTGTGTTCCCCGTCGAAAAATGTTGCATTTTACATGTGGCGCACAAAAATCATATTTTAAACATCAAAAATAAGAGAAATAACAAATGGAATTTAATTCTTTATTAAATACTAGCTGTTGCCCGCGACTTCGTTCCGGCAGTGTTTAATAAAAATGTCATTCGTTTTTACTCTCTTGTTCTAAACATACTCCTAGTAAGAGTCAATTGTATCAATAAGATTAGCAATTTTAATTTAAAGAAATTATGCATATAAAGTTTTGTCAATAATGCACTTCAGCGCGCCATCTCGAATTCAACTATTTAACTATAACTATGATTGAATCTCAATGTCAAATTTTATTCTATAGAAAAGAGCTGTTTTGAGGATTTTCCCGGCAATTATTCGAATTTTTCTCACCTTTTAAACCTTCCCTAGACCTCCACGAATAATTCAAGACCAAGATAAGAGCAATCCGTTCAGCCATTCTCGAGTTTTAGCGAGACCAACGAACAGCAATTCATTTTTATATATATAGAAAAGCAAAAGAAACACTTCAATTGATATTTCTAAATGGCAACATTCATAAGTCACAAAATAGCGCAATTAACGCGTTTAGCACAAACAATTTACGGCACTCCACTCGATACACACTACTTTACGCCGGCAATCACTCCATCAGCGCTGTTAAGTGCGAAGTTTGCGACTAATTTCCAACGCCGCATAAAACACCAGCAGCACATTTAAAATACGAAGCTGGATTCTGCCGCCGCGGCATACTTCCGACTTGCGCTGGGCTCAAAGAGAGCGCCTTCATTCATATTCATAATCAACACAATGAAAGCACTGCACTGCATGCTGCACGTCTCGCACCCCTAACTGAGATGTGATTTAATGTTCTCTGCGCGCTTAAAATAATTCGAAAATATCAAATTTATTGCGTCGATGAATACTTGAAAATGTGCGCCACATACGCGTAAAATTCAACTTTGTTGTTTGTTATAATTTGATAGCTCTATATGAGGTTAGAAACAGTAAAATTTCCTCCGGAATGAATGCTGTTTACATTGTGGGCACAAACAAGATGCGGCATTAAAATTTGCCGAGCAGAGTTTGGATTTAATGCCGCTTTGATGACGATTGGATTGAAATTGATGCGCGATGCGTTTCGCTATTTAACAACGCACTATAAAACCGCCCGATGTGCACTGATATTTCCCCCAAGTTAGAGTCAATTAATTAGCGCGCGTCATTAACTATCAACTATCGGTGAGCATCAACCATCGGACGCGTGCCGGTGGTAATTTGCTTTATTGGTCAATAAGAACTCGAAAGAAATAAAAAAAAAACATCACTTTAGTGAATTTTTTTCCGGGTCGCATTGTTTCATTAACGTTAACATTTAATTAATAGCCGAATGACAAACATTTGAGTTTTCGCTTTGACGTGCAAATAATTCACTTGAAACATTCATTACAGCGTGAATACGTGCATTTTTTCTTCGTTTGGGAGAGTATTAAATAGCATGCATTAGGTAAATATTGACTTTGCGCGAAATAAAACGTTCACATGCATGAATATTACCTTTCAAAAATAACTTATATTTGTCATTGAGCGTGCCGCATACATTTTTCTGACTATTCGCCGTCTATTTTCGGAAGTTGGCTTTAATTTTGAAAAGTTTGCTCTAATTTTTCGGACGCAAGAAAAAAGGTAGCGATTTTTGCGAGCGCGGTGGCGGCGGCGGCGGCATTGTGCCGCCCGCCCGCCCGCAATTTCCTATCCCATTGTGCGCTCTAAACTTTTGTCTCTGCCGCTATTGTCTCATTGTTTTCTTCGGCGCGCTGCCGCCCGTCATACCTAGAGCGATTTTATTTCAGCATTATTTTTTCGGCGGCGCGCGAACATGTTCCGCTTCCCTTCTGTCTCCCATTGAGAGCCGCGGCGGCATTGGACCGCCGCCAAATTGGTGCCACCCATTAACTCGCGAATATGGAAACGCCGCCGACGTCGCACAAACAAGAAAACGAAAAAGAAAACGCTACCTTCCTTAATAAAAACTTCATTTTATTTTAATGTACTGCGCCGTGCTACATTAAGAAACGCCAATAACGCGCCGCCGCCACCGCCGCCGCCGACCGTTTAGTTTATTATTTTCGGGCGCGGAATGAAATATTGCGCGGATTTAAAACGATTTTTTTATTTGTTTGCGGCTCACTGTCGCCAATTTATGTCTCTTTGCCAAGGCAAGCGTATTTCGTAACCAATTCGCACAATTTGCTTAAAACAATTAGGTTTTTCCACCGTGGGCCGGACATTTTAAGCATTGTTAATTATAACCGAAGCAATCGAGTCAAGGACGCCGTGTAATTACGCTTAAGCCGGACCGAAATAGTACAAAACGTAGGTTGACAAATATGCATCAATATCAAATCGATATTTATACATCCATTGCAATAATTAATCAAAAAACTGTCTCCGTAAGTAAATTCGCAGTAATCTACGAGTAATTAATGAAAAAAGTTTAGTTTTTCAAACATTTATCATAAATTTCACCAAAAATTCTTGTTTTTTCTTTATAAAAAAACTAAAAAATACAATTCCCCCGCCTATAAGGTCAAAATATCATAATTAGTTAATTAATTAATTAATTACCTTGAAGTTCCTTGTATAAACTTTAAAGTACAACGTCCAATCCAGAAATGACGCACAGCAAACAAATGGTAATTTTATCGGTTCATTGTTGTTTGTTTTCCTATCGTACAACTGCCATCGTTCGGTTTACTACCGACTATTGCGGGCAAGTACGCCAAAGTACATCAAAGTGAGCACGAGGTAGGAAGTGTACTACTTGCACACGCACTCAAAATAACGTGGTGGTATTAACTAGGCGAGTTTCCAGCGCGCATGAGCGTGTATGATTGATTTATTTTGAATTTAAGAATTAAATTCCACTTATTCAGCGCGAACTAATCATCCTCGAGCTAATTAAACACCTCAATTTGTTGGAGGAGTCTGGCGGCTTGCCAATTAATTAGCACGCGGCCATTTTGAGTTTGTATTCATAAACATCGTAAAATATTTTTGTTTTATTGTGTTTCATGTAACACTTTCATATTTTCCGGCTGTGTATCTTTTAAAATTGGTTTTTATTCATATACAAGCAATTTCACAGCCATTATCAACAAATTATCGCTATAAATCTCAATAGATTCAACGCGCAACAACATTTTCTTATCCATTGCGTTATTATTCGCTAGTTGTACTAATCTATTCGATTTAAAGGTCACATGCAGGACGTTTTAATGATCTGTAAGCCAGATTCAGTGACGTATTGCACAATAAAAGTGATTTACGCATTTGGCGCACAAATATTTTCGCTGAACACAACAAAATATTCCCGCGACTATAAATATTTCGGGCCGCAACAATGTAAAAAATTAATTTTAATCATTTAATCATTCAAACATTTCGCCGAAATGCGGTATTTGCGGTTGGGAAGTTTGTCGCGAATTTTATCATGAATTAATTACGCCGGGAATCATCCGAATTCATAACTTCAACTAACGTGTGCGACAATAAATTGGCGTCGGTGAGCAAACGCAAATCAAAGCGTTAGTTGGAAGCCATTTGACAAGTTTGCGTTGGCTAAAGCGCATTCAGATGAAAGTTCACAGTCGTCCCGATCACAATCGCTATCACAATCGACCGGAGCGAAACGGCGACGGCAAATTAACAAGCCCGTGCAACGAGAGTACACACGAGATTGATTCACGCCGCAATCATCAGCGAGCAAACAAAACTTCGCATGTCGACATCATTAATCGCACAGCATATTCATTCCTTTTAAGTAAAACCATAATTTTTCATTCGTGAATTATTAATAATTAAATAAATAAATATATAGCAAGTTTGGTTAGAACTTGTTGAATTGCTTGCTCGCGCTACTCGTACTTTCGCCTTAAAGTCAACACGACGGGATTCGCCGCCCATTGTCAATTTCATTGTTTTTAATATAAACATTAAACACATGTACGCACTTGTAGCGCACGGGGCACAGGCCATATAAACAAATAAACAAACACGGCGCCGCCGCCGACGAAGGGCGCACACGGAGTGCAGACGCCGCGAACGCAAACAAATGCGCAAATAAGTGCGGGCGCGCGGCACAATGGGCGCAAGTCGCAATGTTTCGCCAACTTTATGACGGTTACAACAATAGAAATTCGCCCGCCGCGCACGTATTTAAATTCGAACACATTTGAATCGGAATGGGCATTGTTCTCGCCTCCACCGATATGAAATTCGATGATTTCCAGTGATAAACTATCTCGCAAACTGTTGCACTCTACGAAATATCAATTTTCAACATTTCCAAGCATTAAATACGTCGAAACATGTAGAAATTTCCACTGGAATGATGAGGATAAAGTCGTGTTTTCTCAACTTTTGAAAATCAATATCTAAATATAGTCACAATCACTAATGTTCAAAGCACCGTATTCTTTTAAATAATATATGTATTTGTTCATCATTCAAATGATAACGATAACCTTTAGTCTGACGGACGACTCATCAGTTGGAAAACAAGCCGCGCATGTTTTATCATCGCGATTTCAATAACGACGTAATTATATTCACGTTGGACTTGTTTGTTTATTTAGAAATCACTGCAGTACTCATCATTGCAAAATAAACATTGATACAGATTGCATATTGCAAAAATATTTCCTTGAAGTACTCGTGATATAAATGAGAACATCGCTAGTTATTCTAACGCAGAGTAAACGTAAAGTAAAGACACTCCTGCATTTGTTTCGTACAAAAATCGATACCAGCTGCGCTGACCTTGATTGCTTCGTTTGTATCTTGCCGATCACGTTTTCGCCTAACCACGATTTTTGTGCATTACACAACTTTACATAATCATAAAAACCAATTGATTACCACTGCAGGTATTTAGTTGATATTTACCTTGAGAGGTTATATAAAAATAAAAGCACACGGATTTTAATCCAACTTTGGCACCAGTTTATGACACAGCACAATTAACAAACGGCTCGGCAATGGTCTCGATGGTCTCTTCTTGACGCGCCTGGCACCCGAAAACTGGCTCTGGCACCGCACTTGACTTCGCCTCGGCGTGCAGCGAGGAGTGGAAGCGAATAAACCAACTCGCGTGGTGGACACTGAGCACTAGCTGCGAAATCAACGCGTCGACGAAGCGCCGCTCATAAATGTATCTACTGGATGTTTATGTGGCTTCAATCAGTAGTTCATAGTTTATTAGTATTGCCATTAACATTGAGCGTTAACAGACGCAGACTTTCACTTTGCGCGCCTTTTTCAGAGTTCAAAGTCAAGCAAGTGAATTATTTTGTCATTTTCTTGGATTTGTGTTGGTTTTAGAATGTTTAGGTGACACTCAGTGTGTAATTTCGGTCGGATTCACGCGCGGCTTTCATTTTTGCTGCGTGGTATTCAGCGCGACTTGGATTTTGCTTGCGATTACTACATTTTACGATTTCGCGACTCACATGTGCCGCGATTTGTGCCTCTCTTGCCTTGTTTCGAAGGTGACGTCACCTTGTTCGCGTTCGCCGGTGCGCCGACATTATAAATAAATACATTTTACCGCGAACTATGAATAGACCCGGACGTTTGCGTCCTGTCGACGTCTCTCAAAACATCGAGAATAATAAACAATCAAATTTTTAAATTAAAAATTTTCTTCTTTTTGACTTTTGGCTTGATTTTATTGACATTTTTGTTGTTTCTGGATGATGTGACCTTAAATTACCAGAAGTCACCTTGTCGAGGATATTACCATATACATCGAGTAAAAATTGATCGCACAAGGAAGCCAAGGAAGCGCACAAGGTCGCGTCTTGCTAATCGACCATGGAATGTATTTGAAAAACTCCTCGAAGTCGCGTGACTGTAGTCAACCAGTTCTACGCTGCGGCGAATTTACTCGGCTTTTTCGCGCACAGGATTGTTGCGAGAGTTTTTTCCGCGCGGATTTTCGGCTTATTTCCGATGCAACGCGTGCATACCCGTAGATCTGGTTAGGAGCAGGTATCGCGGTAGTGGGTCGAGACGGGTTTAAGATTTTATACCTCATCTCTTCCAATCCGAGGGTGAATCCTAGATCAGGATACCTTGTTTGGCGCGTTGCTGATTCGGGAGCTGGAAGCTGGTGGCTGTGATGCAAACAATGTTCGCTCGCATATTCAGTTCTTTGAGTGGAATACGAAATCCTTTCACCTGCCGTTCACAGCTAACAAAACCGAGGGCAATTTGTACTTGCTCTCGTAAAACCAATTTTTATCAGGGAATCAACGAAATAAGACCTATTTTGCTTGGAAAAATTGCAAATATATTGTATCCAGCGCTGAAATCATATATTTAAGCAACAAATTAATGAATATTTTACTATTTCAAGAAATATTTTCCTGAGATCTATGAGAAAACAACTTTTATCCTGTTTATATATCTATCTGTCAATATTTGACTGTAAATTTACATCCTCAAGATTTTGAAAAGTGATTATAGAGCCAATTAAAAATTATTCTTTCTTAAAATTGAAAAATTAAAGTTTCTAGGTTAATTATAAAGAAATTTGAATTAATTACCAACTTTTGGTATTGTAGGGTTGTTTGTAATGCTTCAGAGCGTGCAAATGAGAAGTGGAAATATAAAGGAGCTCTGGAAATACAAAGTGACAATGAAAAATGCCATATTGTTGTCTTTCTAAATAATACAGGGTGTTTTTTATACGTTTTTTACAAAAAAAAACATATTTTCACGGTTTTCTAGTTCTAAAAATGAGCAAATATCAAATTACGCTATTTTGTAGGCTATACAGGGTGTTTACTAATTTTATTCTAAAATGTTCACATGGAGACATTTTTCTACTCATGTGCTCAAATTAAGATTTTTATCCCTAAAACTGCGCTGTATCTTGATGAAAGTTGAACGAATAACAAATTTTGTGTAGTTCCACAGTTTATATCACCCTGAAGTTTAGATTTTCCCAAACTAAATGAGTCCTTCGCAAGATGCGACAATAAAAAGCGTTTAATGTACGACGTAATCAACGTAACAAACGTAGTTACACTAGTAAATAAGCAAAAACTCGTATAAAATATAACACCGCGCGCACATCGCCGACAAAGATAAAAAGATGACAATAATCTGCGAGATGGAAGATCGTGATTCGGCGCTAAGACGCACTTACGAGAGTGAGCGACGACGGCGGCGGTGGTGGCGGCGACGCTTCCGCCTGCCGCAGATTACACTCGGCAATGTTGCGTTAACCTATGTTGCGCCACATTCTTCGCGAGGATACTCAAAAAAATACTCATCTCCGCGTCATAACCAACTACCGCCCTTGCGCAATGTAATCCGGACGACCGCGTTCCGATTGTTGCAAAATAGTCATCGCCGCCGCCACCACCACCAAACACTCGACGACGGCGAAAACAATGCGCGATATGATGATGATAATAAACGGTATGAATTTCAGCGCGAATTTCATTGCGAAAACAGTGAAAATAAGCGCATTATCAACACGCTGAGATTGCGCACTGTGCCGCCGCCCGAGTGTCGACGTCAAACGATAATATTTCGTTTTGTTTACGCTTTTGTTGTAATTTATTTCAGCCGCGCGGTGGTTTTTCCGCCGTCAGCGTGCGTTTAACCATCCATAAAGCTAACTCCCAAGGGGTGCGTTCCAGTGGCGGCGGCGTCCTTTCATTACCGCAGGAATCTTTCCTCTATCACGATTTTTACGCGCGCGCGAACGTCGCGAAGATGTTGTTGTTGTTGATTGCATGCGTGTGTATAACACAATTGCACTTTGTTAATGTGTTTAAGTATCCACATTAGCCGCGCATTTGTTACGCGCTTGAATTACCATACTCGCATTCATTATTCATCATTTTCCATTTGCAATTCTGCAATACCAATAACGTAATGAATATTAATTAATAACTGTATAAAATTGCTTTGTTTTGCGCGCTTGCGCAAATATCAACACGCTCATTTCCATTCGCACTCGATTTGCATGTGGGTCCTTTAGGATTCCACCGAACTGCATACGCCAGCACATCAATTCATCGCGTATTACACACACTCCTAATTATAATTAAAATCAGCTCGGAAACAAATGTGGCCCCCCCCCCCAACTTAAATTCGCAATTTCGGCTTGCTTAGTGAAATTTAATGGAAATTATTATGCTGCGCCAGCGGAGCGTCTGTAACACCCGCCCCGTTATTGTTAAACATTCTGCTGCGCGTTCACGTCGACTGACTGACGTCCATCCAATGTCCGGCGCTCAAGTTGAATCTATTGTTGCTATTGTTGCTGATGAAGAAGGGAAGAGTCCGGTCGGGCGCGTTGTGCTGCGCCGAGAGCCACTTCGGCCGCTTATTAATAATGCGCGAGCTAATATTATGATGTAAAATTTTAGTGCGCAAATTGGATGGCTGTTTTCTCGGCTCGCCACTCAGCTAATAATATAGCACTCACCCCCAAAATCAATCATGTCGCGACGCAAATCGGTGTTTTCATGCCGGCAACTTTTAATCCGCACTTCCATAACGCCCCGACGGCGATAATTGCGTGTTTTTGACTCTATACCCAAATTCATTTCGTTATTATTATTATCAGTTTTGCAATAATACTTTTGTCATTGTTTGTCAGCGTTTTAATCACAGCGCAGTCCATAAATTTACTAATTAACGTTTCGATTCGTGCGGAGATTAAAATGTTAGTTATTTAATAAACTAAATATGTATTCATAGGTTTACTATAGTATAGTACACGCGCATGCGTAGTGTGACTTATGGGCGGAGCTCCCATGTACAAAATAATCCGTTAAACATTGTTATAATAATTTTTTGATTGAAAAACGATGTGGATTACACTTGTTTGGTCAGTTGATGAAGTTGTCGCGCGGTGGCGCTGAGATTCCGTGCTCTTGGGCGGCAGCGGTTGGAGGCGGCGTCGCGCGCGCTTTTCCACTACCCCCGAAGTTTTCCACCGGCGGCGCGTGGCGGGCGGCGAGCGCGTTCTGCCGTCAGTTCTTGCAGCCAGCTGTGTCGGGCGTCACGTCGGTCTCCTGCTCGTCCTCGTCCTCGTGCGATCGCGAAACCGCCCGGCGAGTGCCCCGCTAGTGTCCGGTGATTTTCATATGTACTCTGTGGATTATCAGCAGTCATGTCGGGCTGGCGTTAATCGAAGTTAGCGAATGTTGTGGCCGCTCTTGGGATTGGTAGCGCTAGCGAATGGTAAAAATTAATGTTTGCACTTAATGTCTTGCGTTCGATTCCTTGCTGTGTCGTGTTTTTCGACACGTATCCTTATTAAGCGCGATTTGTTTGCGCCACTGGCGATTTTTTCACGCGGCGAGAAAAAATCGCTCAAACAGGAATAGATAAAGCTTTGTCCCCTCGCACAAAAAGCGTCCACAGGCCAAGAACCACGGCCAAAAAATCGCCGGAAAAAATGAATGAAAGATAATACAAGGACGGAAAAAAAACCGCACGCGCAAAAAATTTGAGAGAATGCGAAGACGGCGACTGTGTGTGTATGTATTCTTGTATCCCAATGGCAAACATAAACTTTTTTACTTTTTACTTCTTTCTATCAGTTCTATTCTTTCATCGACTCGCCTGCAACTTAGTATCTTCCATATTCGCTCGCGTGAAGAATTTGTTCTTTGATTATTTTTTTCGGTGTCTTTCATGCAGTGTGTTTTCCCTATTAAAATTCTCCGCGTTTTTTTTTCTCGCCCTGCGCTTAGACTTAGATTTATTTGCGAACAAAAAAGTACAAACAAGTATAACAAGAAATTCAGGGTAAACTCCGGGGCCCCGGCTGCGGAGACATTGCGTCCGGCACTTTTCTAAACAATTTATCAATCAATCAACGGCGAAAACTTTCGGCAACTTTCTACCTACCCGATACCATAGCGGCTTTTTCCTGCCAATCTTTGTAATGTCCGGGTGGATTTGGTTTATGTGTAACATGTCGGCGTTCATACACATGTCGGCATGAAGTTCACCGGCCGGAGGCGCGGCGACGGATAATCGAATTAGAAATTTTGGCCTGCGCGTTGGGCAATAAAAATGTCGGTGCGAATCGAAAACAGAGCAGCCGGTTGATAATCTCAACTGGAATCTGCCAGCCGGGCAACATTAGAACGCGCCGAAGTGTGCAGCTTGACTGATGCGATTTTTATGAGTATGAAAGCACCCCGCACGTATCGCGACGCAAAGATCTCTTACGTATTATAGCCGCCTTTTATCTTTAGCTGACGGCTCGTCTCACTTGATTCTCATCATCGTCACCGAATGATAAATTCGCCATTATAACTTATGATAATTCGATTCGCGAATGAATGTAAAAAAATGGAAATACGCGCGCAAACAAAAGCGCAACTCGAGCGTGGCTTAATTCGCGCGCTCTTGAAACTTGCGCCTGGATACCCACAGGTAGTGCGAACTTCTTTAAGATAACCCGCAAGTTGGAACACTCGGTGCGTATCGCGTAATGCGGCTCGAAAGGGTGGAAGCGACAAAGTGAAAAGCGAAGAACGAAAAACGCCGCCGGCGCGCTTTTTTACACGAAAAAAGAAAAAAATACAACGCGCTGCGAAAACTTTATGACAGACCCTCGTTTTAATTTCCTCGCTGCGAAGTTTGCACATCATCAAAACGCGTGCGCGCATCATCTTCATCACACGCGTCACCATAGAGAATCACCACAGGCGGAAGTATCGACGCCGAGTAAATAATAAGCACCTAACTGTGAGCGCCGGCTGTTTTATCTGCCTTCACGAGTGTTAATCCTAATCCAGGCAAGTCCCCAAGCCAAACCGACGCCTGGAGGCGGCCGCGTAGCATTCCGCACGCGGATTCTCTTCATAAACACACACAGACAAAAAAAAAACAGAACATCGGAACGAAATGCTAATTAGCCACTTAGAACATCGCCGGCGTTCTAATCTCCTCAAACATGCGTACGCGTTATTTTTTGTGTAAATTTTAATACGTCCTAATTCCCGCACCGGTGCACTTTGTTATCATTATTTCGCAGATGGGCGAAATGTGCAGTTTCAATTTGCGCGCCGGACGCGTTTATTTTCATCTCCAATTTTCCAATTTGGCGCGTATTATTTAAGTATTTTGTTAGCCGCCAACATAAATACCTCACACACACACGTAACCATAATACTTATGTTCGTTTATCGATGGCCAGCGCGGCGAAAGGTGGAATAAGACATAAACGTGGATATAAAAACCGGCGGATTGGACGCACGGAAGTGGTCTGCGAGTAAAATAAGCGAAATAAAGCTGTTTGACGAAATAAAACGTTATGGTCTGTTCAGGGGGAGCGTGCGCCTGCATCGACGTGCACGTTTTTTATTGTTTCTCAACTCGTCTGCGCGCGAAATTCGTGAAAATCACATTGTGCATTAATTAGGCGCTGGGATAATGCACGCGGAAGTCGTGTGGGCGAAATAATAGTGATATGCTAATGAGTTCGATCTAATTTGTCGATCGGCGTAGGCATAAAGATTGTCGCCGGGAATCTCGGCGCGCGCGCGTCAACGTAAGACTCACCCCAGTGCGGGAATCTGAGGTCGTGCGGTTTTCGCAATGTACGTTACGTGGATATACTCTGCGAGCGCACACGACCTTTCCGCTGCGGTATCAAAATATATTTGATTATACAGCGCGTGTGCCAACTTCAATCCCCCGGCGCTCGAACCCAAAGTATACAAATAGCGAAAAACTTTCCAGTTGGCCGCAAACCAAAATTTCACCATCAAATCGTAAGAAATGCGTGTTTTGTACGCGGATTGTATTCGATATGCATTCGCGGGGGTTGATTAAGATTTTAAGTAAATGTTGATTGTTTTGGTTGCAATTAGTTCGGACGCGCTGTATGCGATTTGCGGCGTAAAATGTGTGTGTGTGGGTGTATGCAGTGGAAATTCGGCACGAACGAGAGACTAGGTTCACGTTTGCGTAACGCCGATGTACGAGATTGAGCGTTATCAAGAGTTATTGCGACGTAAGGGATGAACCGGTGCCGCAATATAATTCACGCTAATTAAAACACAAACACAACCACCACGGACGCCAATATCAATATTAATACGGCGCGCGTCGACACATCGGGAGTAAATAAATTTTTTCTCATCCGCCACTTCCTTCTAATTTAATCATAACACTATTGTTTGGATCAAAATTATACAGTGTGTAAAATTATGTATTATTTACAACACACAAACGTAAATAATCAAATAAATCAAAAAAATTGATCAAAAAAAGTTTATTTTTTAATTTTTGAAGAAAATAAAAAATATTTTCAAATTTTTACTTCAGTATGACATAGTTTATGGTCAATACTATGTATGTATACAAAAACTATGAAATTCGGTCAACAGGAAGTGAAGTTATGGCGTCTGAAAGATTTGCGTTTCAACGTTGAACACTTTGTATGCGCGAGATACGAAAACAAACACTCTGTCAATCATATGTGCGCGATTATTGTGCGAGATGATTCAATACGTCTGCGACATCAAGGTGGAAGTTTCCGGTACGATTGTGTGTACGGTGCGCGCCGCCCCCGCTGTCGCACAGATGCAGATTGTTCGCTACAAGTTACAACCGCATTTGCATCAATTGTTTGCCGAAACGATCGCGCTGTTAGTGGGTTAAGAGGGCACTCATCGCAGCCGCCGCCGCCGCCGCCGCCCGTTGCGGACTTTGGCATAACACGGCCGGGTCCATTGGCGGCCTCTTAACAAAATATACTCTGTTTGCTCTGTAAACATCGGCGCCAACCTGTGTTCGCCACAATTGCAGCAAACAGGAAAAAATAATTAGGTACGCCGGAAAATTGTATTTCGCATCAACAGTTCGCAGTATGCTGCTCTTCTGATGATATTATTTTTGTTTTGCTTCTTGCACTCGGCATCTGCATGCTCGCCGGTTGCTTTTTTGCAAAACAAAACGGCAATTTCTTATTTTTACGACGCGCACAAACAGCTTTCGTCCACAATCTACACGTAGGTATTCGGGACGCTCGCCTCGGCTGCGGTGGCGCGGACGTCGTTCGGTAATCTAAAAGAAGGTCTTTGAGGAAAGCAAACCCTCGAGGCATAAAATAGTAAACTTAATTTGGTTTTTCTCGTTTACTGTTTACCGTTTACAGTTTTTCCCGGGCGCTTCGCACGCCACCAGTGCTAGTTTCGCCTTTGTCCGCCTTCGCTGCCGCCGCCGTCTTTGTTTCGCGCTATTAGCGGTCGCGCGGACGACGCTCGGGCGTCGGGATAAGCGTACGCTTTTTAAAGCTCTCTTTAAGTTTTACTCTCGATATAAATTGGCGCGAGACGCGATGCAGAACTAGGGCGGAAGGTGTTCGGATGTAAAGTTTCATTAAGCGTGAGCTGGCGCTGGAGATTCGCCTGATTTTTTATTAAAAGGGGCGCATCTTGATAACTATTATTCATGGCTCCACGGGGTATTTACCGCGCGCGCAGACGTTAATGCGGAGTGGGTTAAAAGCCGTCGCAGATGTCGGTTTTACACCGTTCCCAATATATCGCTAATTATGTTGAACGAGGTTAATATATTAAAGGATCGTCGACGGCGGAGGAGCCTTTAACTAAGTGCCCTCGACGTCGAACGGTTTCAGCGGTGCGGCCCGTGCATATCGTCAAAGTTGTGCCACTGCCGCTGCCGCCCCCCGGTGCGCCGAGACATCCGTCCCGCTTTTGCTACTACTTCTACCGCCCCCCGCGCGCGCGTCGACGTCAAACGAAGTTTAAGTGCCAATTTTGCTTTGTGTTTCCAACTATTATCTAGCGCCGCCGCAGCGCGCGTAACGCTAGCTATCAGCTCACAGCTATCATAATTCGGGCGTCGGTGGCGTAATCATATTTGGCAGTCAATTTACCGCCAGACGCCCGAAATTTGCCGCGTCTAATCAAATTGACGGCTGTTTCTTTTCCTGTGCGTGTGCGCGTTTTTAAATTCGCCGCTTGTACGAAAACTCAATCCAATTACCTTTTCTAGCTGCGCACTAATATACACAGCGAATATTGCTCGCCGGCGCGTAAAATCAACGACTTTCATCGATGGCGCTCACATTTAACAAATATAATTAATACCGAATCGCGAAATAAACCGATGAATGCGATGTTCGGCGGCGGTGTTTATTTTGCGATTTGTTTTACGAGCGACTAGGCAGCGCGGGTTCGGTTTCCATTAAAATTTCATATTTATGAAAGGCCCGGCCAACGCACCTCTTCAATAAACTCCTCATTATATTTGCCCACGGAGTGAATAATGCGCATCGAGTGCACCATATGTAACGCGAATCGGGCGTGCGGCACGCATCGTTCGGATGCGTCAATTATCAATTTCAATTAAAAGCAATTCATTTAAAGCAACAATTAGCACATTGCGCGTACGGATTGCAACGCTTTGTCGAACTGTATTTAAATTATATTTGTTGCCGCTCGCGAATCGGTTTTGCCAAGTTAACCAAACCTAATCAAAGCCCCCGAAAACTAAAGGTTCGTGTGCGGCGAAAGCAGCGCGTAGTTTTGCGCTTTTTGTACGCGCAAGCCGATATTGATAGGTAAATATTTCATTTATGCGTTTTGTGCGGTTACAATAATAATTTTGGAGCCGAAAAAATGAGTTTTTCGACGCACGAATGGAATTAATCAAAATTTCAATTACAACGACATGCCGTGCGTTTGGCACATCTTGTGTGCATTGAGTAAATAGGCGCAGTTACAATTCCGGTTCTATATTTAAACATTTTTAATTAAATATCAATTTGTTTGGTTTTTAGAATTGCGCATCAGGAATCATAACTTGCCGGCGTGTGTTTGTGCACGAATCAATCAAATTAAACATTTGTTCGTGTAAATGTTTTTATTTACATACTTTTGTTCAAATTTTCATCAAAACAACAAAAAAAAATAGTGTTCGGTACTTATACCGCAACTCAAAGCATAGGAAAACTTATTTTGTCCATTTCTCAAGGGGAAAATAATTTATCAAAACTATTATTTATTGGTGTGTATGTAATTATGTGATATGTAAGACATACGCAATTTTTTTTTTCTGTTTGTGTACATTACACAAGTTTGTACTTACAATTTGCGTCGGTTCGCAGCGGCTTTATGCGATTAGGCGTATTGATGAATTGCTGACGAGATAAGATTCGCGCAAACTACGGCAACGAATGCGAGTCACCAAAACGCTCCTCCACCGCCGCCGTTGCCACCCCCAGCCGTCGTACATTAGTCTCGGCCGCCTCGCGCACGTAGTACAAACATAATAAATTTGCGCTATTGAATTTATACACGTACATTCGAGCGGAATTAATTTCGAAATATAATTAATTTTAATTCTAAAGGCTACGTGTACCGTGCCGGCGCGTGGCGACGGCGGCGTCTTTCGGCATTCCGCCGCCGACGCGAGATAGCGCGCTATTTTTAACCGATCGAGCATGTCTAATATACGCAGGTATTCGACGCTGCTCCGCGCGCGCACCACTCTCTTGTAATTTTAATAAGCGTTTTGTTTTTTCTTTCAAGTTGTGCTGTCATTCCTGGAAAATGTAGCCGTCGACGCTGTTGTTGTGCGAATTGAATAATGCTTAAATTAAAAGTGCAGTGCGCAGGAAGACCGAAGCCGACCACGTAGAAGAACCAAATAAGCAACGCCCAGCCTCGGCAGCATGAAGAATTCGTGTTGGCGGAGCACACCACCGCCACCGCCGCCGCCGCCCGGGTTACTCATGCATGCCAGTTGTAAATTGAAGAGTCAAACATAATGCACGTTTTTAGCGGTTTATTCATCACGCACGGTGTTCCTCCCCCAACACAGTCGGTAAGTTGCCCATCAAATCCTCTCGATGTTTCGCGCTGATTCGCATTCAGTTAAGTGTGTTGAACGGTACTAAGCGACGAAGTTTAAAAGCTAGTTGTGATTCCAATCCGAAATCCGGATTAATTACGAATATGCGCGTATATCAATAAGTGTGTCGTTATGCGCGATTTTTTCCATCTCTCTGAATGCGCAAATTCGTTTGCAACGCTGATGAATTTTTCCGTTGGATCATGAAAGCGCGCGCGCGCGCGCGAGGGGCGGTTAAATGAACGAAATGGTACGTATCGGTCGGGTCAGCCGTGCATGAAAACCGTTGAAACGGCGTGCGTGTATCGGTTTGGCCACAGTCCGCTCCGCTCGGCTATCAAATATTTGTCGATGCGAGTTCGAACTCTCACCCACGCACACACATGCAAACATCACACAAAATATGTGTGTGTGTGTGTCACATGAAACAGCGGCCGGTTAAAAGTTGAGGAGCGGTCGCCAATGGCTACCTTGTGTGTTCGGGGGCTGATTTCTGCCACACATATTCGCATATTTTTTTTACGTTCGCGTGCGAGGGTGACCGGATGTGCGATCTGTTTGAGGGCGGCGTGGCACATGGAAGGGTGTGTTGTAATCACGTAGAAAAACGCGGAAAATGTGTACGCTCTCGACATACCGTGAGACGAGCGATAAATGTTCCGAACTGATTAATTCACCAGCGAATCGGCGTAATTGTTTTTAACGGCCTGGCTGTATGTTCATATTTGACATTTATTTCTTTCCCACATGCGTGTGCCGATTACGCCCGCTGAAAAATTCATTAATACTCGCTGCAAAATCGATTCCCTGCGCTGCATTCGTGGATTGCGTGCGCAGTTTTGCACAAAGTTGGAAACTATCTAGAAGAAATTTGTAAAGTTGAAATTGCGCTCGCTGTGCCGATGAAAAGTGCCGCACGTATTCTAAATATAAATTCGAGAATAATTGACATTGGAATTGACAACACTTTATAATGTCGGCTGTCGGTGAAACGCAGGAGTCGTGGCTGCGCCAAAGCAGAAAAGAAATCGTGTGGCGAAAATTTTCGCGAAGAGAATCACGACTGGGGAATACGGAATTCTATTCGTTCGGATTTCCTTCGCGCGTCTTGTGTTCTCGCGCGCGATTGTTGTGCCTGCCCGCCGCCGCACATAACAAAAAGAACCAACTGTTGAACTTTTCACACTTTTCCTCCCCCGCACGACGCCGCCACACACGCACAAGCCGGCGCAGCCTATAAAAGTGTAGACGAGTGAGAATATGAAAACATTTTTATTCCATTCGCCGCGCCCAATGTGTTGCACGTTTATATTACGGTTAATACGAAAAGGATAACTGGAAAGAAATCATAAGAACGCCCGGTGGGCACGTAACTTCACCCTACCGCTGATATACGCGCGTCCAGGTGCATGAATACTACAGTATTGAATATTTTTTTGCGGTTTCGCACTGGCTACGTGCAGAAATGTTGGGTTGTTTGCGGGCGCCGAGTGTAGTTTAACGCTGATGTCAAAATAAGAAGTTTCATTTCACCACGCGCTGAATTTTTTCAACATTTTAAACATTTGTGCACACGACACGCCGCGAAATGGCTTTATTCCCATTATACGTTTCACACGTTCGCGAGTTTTCACTTGCAAAATGCTTACCGAAATGCATTCGGTATTATGATAAAAGCGGCGCGCAATTTTCTTCCCTTTTTCACTTCGCGCGCGGACTATTTTTTCCAACGCCGGCAATTTTTCGCGTTTTAATGGAGATTAAAAAATAATGCGCACGTGAAATATCTGCCAAGGCTTTCCTGCCATAACTCTCTGACGAGCCTAATTGCAATCGTAGAAACAAAACACAAAAATAACACACGCGTGGGCAGAAAATCATCCCCAATTCTTGATTGGCTAGGCCGAGCAAAACAAAAAAAAACGGCTCGCTGAACTGAGGAATAAATTCGTTTGTTATTCAGCTTCAATTTGTTCTTCGATGCGTTTCATGCGCCTGTCATTTCGGCGACGCACAAAGTCGAGATTTGCCGGCGGCCCATAATTGCATTTTGTTTATTAAAAACTTAGGACAATGGCTTCGCGGTCGTCGATTTTTTACGCGTGCTAAACTGTAAGCGCTGCGTCCGGACAGCTTAAAAACACGCTGGGAAATTAACAATATATTAAATGAAAAATAAAATTAACATGAACGCCGCTCAGCCGGCAAGGAAAAAATCACATTAAACGCGCGTTCGAAAATATTGCTGCGAAAATGACAGACTCGGGAATTATGAATTTTCCAAACAATGCGCTTTAGAATTATTTTTTGTTTCTTACGGTTTTATGCAACGGCCGAGGGTAATTATCTTCAGGGAGTTGCTTTTTATTGAATGTGAATTTCGTGGTGTTTGCGTGAAAACAAATATCGTTCAATTAGTTCCGGCCATTTCTGTCGCAGATTGTAAAACACGACGAAATGCACCTACGCGTAAACGAATGCAAAACCTGCGCTCTCGCATGTAAACAAACTAGGAAAACGAACAAGAGCAGATCCGGCCGGTGGTGGTAACACCCTTCCGTGCTACTAGCAACGAAATCGGCGTTCGGCCATCCGCCGTGTATCAGTACAACGTTCATTAATTACTGAACGTTTAGTGTTTACTTGCTGCAATTATTTGTTATTGGGGCGGCGCGCCGGGGACACAAATGCCCACACGTTCGCTTTTTGACTTTGTGCGCCCGTCTCTGCGAAAACATGCAAACCGTGCGCGCACACTATGTTTGCGCGAAGACTTTAATTAAACACCGAAAAGCGGACGCGCGCGTTTTATCTGCGTTTCTACGTTTAATTCGCCAGCCGGATATTTTTTACGACCGGACACGATTATAAACTTAAATTGGTTACCAAGTAAACGCTTTAATGTCCAGTTTATTTACCAGCGCATAAACGCCAACTTATAAGCGTCAAATGAACTGCGCTGCAATCAAGCGATGCGCGCGTTTTGCGAAATGAAACAATTTACGCGCGGCGCGGCGCGAGCTCATATTTTATTGTCGGTGGAGTAATTGTCAAAGCGCACAGCGCACGCACATGGCGATTACGGCCGGATTGCGTGGCTTGTGGTGGAAATTAGCGTCATCGACGAGCTGACGCGAATCACCGCGTTGTTCCCAAGGCGATTGACAGTCGTATCATCCACTACACACCGGACTTGATTAAACAACCACTTTAAAAGAATAACTAGCCTTGTTCTACATAGTTTAAAAGCAGAAAAGACGACTAATTCATAGCAAAACTATTTTTGAATAAAATAATAAGAATTTTAGCAAATTTTGACTAAAAACTAACAAAATACAACAAATTTTACAACCCAAAGCGCAAAATAAAAATATTTTACTGTAAATGTTAAACTTTGACGGGGGTTTAAGTTATTTTAACTCATCTGTCATGAAAAAACATGGATTACACTCAAATTTACACAACAGAATCGCGAGTTACACAGCATTTACCACCGCGGGTCCGATAAAAGTCAGTTTTGATATTTTTACCATTTTTGAGGTGCATACGTTTTTATGAACATTGTTCTGTCCAGAGGCTTGTCATCCTAAACCATACACACAGCCGCCAAGCAGATTGATTTATAAAAATGCCTCTATCCGCGCTAGTTAATTAAAAAATCGGCTATTCTCTGCGGCGATTCGGTAATTGGGATATCATTGAAACAGTCGGAGATATATCAGCGTGCATGACGTGCGTAGTAATGCAGGAGGCACTTATTTAAATAAAATCGCGTTTGGAACGCGCCCAGGCGGTGGACGCGAAAAATCCCATTAACTACATCAAGCGCGATGTAAAACAATCGGCGGATTGCCGTGCATCTGCCGACTGCTCGCCAGCCGAGAGTTTGCAACACTTTCCGGGCGGCGTTCTATCTGCACCCCCCAGTTAAAAATTTATTGCTGACGGGTACGTGTAGACTGTGTAAAGTGTAGAGTTTTCGGTTTGGCGGAGACGCGTTCGGGTTTCACTCCAATTCCATTTCGGGCGCCGCGCGCTGCTGATACACTCGTAAATCCGCGAGCGAAGCTAATTTTCATCTCGATTTTACTACAATTTTAAAGCTCTTTATTTATATCCGCAGTTGGACTGTAACATTCGCTGCGTGTGTTTTTTTTTTCGTGCAGCAGGAGCAGCTCTCGTGTGAAAAGCGCGCTGCTCATGTTTTTAGATCGTATTTCTTTCTTCTTTATGTTTTATGTCTTCCCCCCTTTTATTTTTATTTTCGGCGCCTAATTTATTTCTTCATTTTCCTATTTATTAAATTTATCGCTCCAATCCCGGTGTGCTTTTGAATACGCTTATTGATAAAACAGGCCACGAATCCCATCACCGTGCGCGCCATTACGGGTTGTTATTGAAAAAAAGGTAAAAACTACGACATAAATAAATAGGATTCACAGTTTATTACGAGGATTTGCCGGCGTATATTCAATACGAATGACTTTATACTGGTGGAGGTGTCTTCGCAGCAATGGGTGGCCGAAAAATCGTTAGAAAACGTAATGCCGGCAGTAGGCGATTCGTCGGAAATGGCCCATTTAATCGTCTTGTGATTATCAATTTTACGAGGAACGTGCCCCCCTTTTATGAGCGTCGTATATTCTTTCCTGCCGCCGCTTCTTCCTTACCAGCGCCGAGCGGGAAGGTAGTCGGAGTAACGAAGCCAACTGAAGCGCGACCGGCGGGTGCGGCGTTGGCCGTAATGGAGTATCGGGTAGTAATGGGAATCTGCGGGGGCGGCACTCCCATGCCGGCCGGACATCCCGAAAATGTTATATTTTTCTTATAATCTTACGTTTATGTCTTCGTACGTTATACGTTAGTCGCAGCGCACATCGCACGTAGGAATCGAATGCGGGTGCGCCGCCGCCGGAGGAGAGGAGAGAATGGCCGTAAAGTAGACGGGCGGCGCACGACAGGGGGGCAGAAAT